ATACTCACTATCTATGCGGTCAACATACCCACTATCTGTGCGGTCAACATACCCACTATCTGTGCAGTCAACATACTCACTACTGTCTGTGCAGTCAACATACTCACTATCTGTGCGGTCAACATACTATCTGTGCAGTCAATATGCAATCTGCGCGGTCAACATACCCACTATCTGTGCGGTCAGCATACCCACTATCTGTGTGGTCAACATACACACTATCTGTGCGGTCAACATACCCACTATCTGTGTGGTCAACATACTCACTATCTGTGTGGTCAACATACCAACTATCTGTGCGGTCAACATACTCACTATCTGTGCGGTCAACATACCCACTATCTGTGCGGTCAACATACCCCTATCTGTGCGGTCAACATACCCACTATCTGTGTGGTCAACATACTCACTATCTATGCAGTCAACATTCTCACTATCCATGCGGTCAACATACTCACTATCTATGCGGTCAACACACTCACTATCTGTGTGGTCAACATACTCACTATCTATGCGGTCAACATACCCACTATCTGTGCGGTCAACATACCCACTATCTGTGCAGTCAATATGCAATCTGCGCGGTCAACATACCCACTATCTGTGCGGTCAGCATACCCACTATCTGTGCGGTCAACATACTCACTCATCTGTGTGGTCAACATACCTCACTATCTGTGCGCGGTCAACATACCCACTATCTGTGTGGTCAACATACTCACTATCTGTGTCAACATACCACTCATCTGTCATCAACATACCATCTCTGTGCGGTCAACATACCGGTCAACATACCCACTATCTGCAATACATGGTCAACATACCCACTATCTGTGCGGTCAACATACCTCACTGTGCATCTGTGCGGTCAACATACTATACTATCTGTGCGGTCAACATACTACACTATCTGTGCAGTCAACATATATACTATCAGGGTCAACATTGGTCAACATACTACTATCTGTGCGGTCAACATACTCACTCATCTGTGTGGTCAACATACCTACTATCTGTGTACATGTCCACTCAACATACATACCATCTGTGTATTCAACATATGTACTGTGCGTCAACATACATACTATCTGTGTAGTCAACATCAACATATATAACATATCTGTGTGGTCAACATATATACTATCTGTGTAGTCAACATATATACTATCTGTGTAGTCAACATATATACTATCTGTGTAGTCAACATATATACTATCTGTGTAGTCAACATATATACTATCTGTGTGGTCAACATATATACTATCTGTGTAGTCAACATATATACTATCTGTGTAGTCAACATATATACTATCTGTGTAGTCAACATATACTATCTGTGTGTCAACATATATATCTGTGTGGTCAACTGTGTGTGGTCAACATATATACTATCTGTGTAGTCAACATATATACTATCTGTGTAGTCAACATATACTATCTGTGTAGTCAACATATATACTATCTGTGTGGTCAACATATATACTATCTGTGTAGTCAACATATATACTATCTGTGTAGTCAACATATATACTATCTCTGTGTGGTCAACATATATACTATCTGTGTAGTCAACATATACCTATCTGTGTAGGTCAACATATATATCTGTGTGGTCAACATATATACTATCTGTGTCAACATATATACTATCTGTGTCAACATACACTATCAACATATATACTATCTGTGTAGTCAACATATATACTATCTGTGTAGTCAACATATATACTATCATCAACATATATACATCTGTGTAGTCAACATATATACTATCTGTGTAGTCAACATGTATACTATCTGTCAACATATATACTATCTGTGTATCTGTGTCAACATATATACTATCTGTACTATCTGAGTCAACAACATATACTATCTAATTGGTCAACATATATACTATCTGTGTAGTCAACATATATACTATCTGTGTAGTCAACATATATACTATCTGTGTAGTCAACATATATACTATCTGTGTGGTCAACATATATACTATCTGTGTAGTCAACATATATACTATCTGTGTAGTCAACATATATACTATCTGGTGTGTAGTCAACATATACATACTATCTGTGTAGTCATCTGTGTATACCATCTGTGTAGTCAACATATATATACTCATCTGTGTAGTGTAGTCAACATATATATCTGTGTAGTCAACATCTATCTGTGCGGTCAACATATATACTATCTGTGTAGTCAACATATATACTATCTGTGTAGTCAACATATATACTATCTGTGTAGTCAACATATATACTATCTGTGTGGTCAACATATATACTATCTGTGTAGTCAACATATATACTATCTGTGTAGTCAACATATATATATGTAGTCTATATACTATCTGTGTGGTCAACATATATACTATCTGTGTAGTCAACATATATACTATCTGTGTAGTCAACATATATACTATCTGTGTAGTCAACATATATACTATCTGTGTAGTCAACATATATACTATCTGTGTAGTCAACATATATACTATCTGTGTAGTCAACATATACTATCTGTGTAGTCAACATATATACTATCTGTAATCTGTCTGTGTAGTCATATATCTGTGTAGTCAACATATATACTATCTGTGTAGTCAACATATATACTATCTGTGTAGTCAACATATATACAATCTGTGTAGTCAACATATATACTATCTGTGTAGTCAACATATATACTATCTGTGTAGTCAACATATATATATATATATACCATTCGTGTAGGTCACCGATATCTGTGTGGTCAACATATATACTATCTGTGTGGTCAACATATATACTATCTGTGTGGTCAACATATATACTATCTGTGTAGTCAACATATATATGAACGGTATAACATTTACAAGTCTGGAAAGGAGAAATTGAATCCTAAAGAATGTGCACCCATGGACAGTAAGAAGGTGAAAGGTGCGTTTCATCCCCATACTGTGTTCATGTGGCGGCATACAAACAATGCCTTTATATGTCAAGCCTTGGCCTGCATACTGATGTACAGGTTAGTAGGTGTAATGGTAATTCGTCGATCATACGACATGACATGTTTCACATATTGTCTATTAACCTGTTTCCACGGGTAAGATAAATACTTGTCGTTTTTTATTTAGATCCACGTTTTGCTTTCGCGAATGTGTGACGAATTATTCTAAGAAATCACGCCAGTAATGAGAGTGTGCATTGCTCCAGGAGTTATATATTTGCCCAAAACTGCTCATAGGAACACTCTGACATAAACATGGAAGACACACATACACCCTGACATGTACAGCCTTTCATAAAATGACATTCACACATCAGTCACATCCCATCAGTAACACAAGCACACATACAGATACATACACACGATGTAATTATGCAAATAGACTTAATACAGTTATACAAATGGAAATACATGTATATGGAGTAGTACGCCTCGGTGTATATAGTTCGTGTAAATGAGAACTACTAGTATAATACAACTATTACATATTACATAGCCATGAAATAAACACTATTCTCCTTTTACACATGTTTCGTACTTTCTGTGACGTTACATGGGAAGCGTTCAGTTTTTGTTATATTTTAATATAGTTGATGGTGAGGTCTGATACGGCTGATTCTTTGATCTTTGATTCTGATGTTTATGGGACTTGACGTTCCGTCTACATGGGCCTCGCCATAGTAACTGCTGATTTTGTAGACAATACCTTTGGGTTCTTGTTGTTTGGAGGTGTTGCCGACATTGGTAGGGTTTTCAGTGGTGTAGAGCTGGTGAAGAAGGTTGCTTGTTGCTTGTTGCTTCAGGAGACGGCTGATGTGGTGGGAGGTCTTCCCTATGAAGGGGATAGAGATGGGTGCGGGTTCGAGTTTGTTGGTGGCCGGTTTACTTGCTGGGAGAAGGGTGCTGATGATTTTGTCGACTTGCTTGGATGTGTAGTAGTTGAACTGGGTGAGAACATGGCAAATGTGTCGGATTTCTATGGTAGGGTTGGTGGAGACTGATGGCTCGTCAGAGACTAAGGGCTTGTATAAGAAAAGCAACAACGAGGAATATACTGAGATTCTTGAGAGGCATTTAGAAGTTGGTGAATATATAAGACGAGTATATGGATGGCAACTTCTTGTTTATTGTATATCACAACGTTTCTGGGCTACTTCTTGTCCCTTCTTCATGTGATTTTGAAAAAGGGGCAAAGTAGCCCAAAACGTTGTGATATATAATCATGCCAATAATGGTTGTCACCCCTTCATTTTTTTAATTGGAGGGGAGGGGAGGAGGGTGACAACCATTATTGGCATGAGTATACAATAAACAAGAAGTTGCCATCCATATACTCGTATTATATGAGGAATATACTCCTCAATTGTCCTCATTCTATCCACACTGAGGCGTCAAATGTACAAATATATTTAGTCTCAACCAGACAATACCTGTCACCTTTTTGGTTTAGACACAACCCTATATTTGTAGATGATATGTAGACTAGCGATGACGTTGTTCCTCTTGTCGATTGTTGTATTGAGCTACTTCCTGATACCAACTTCTTTCTAAACAAGTACGAAGTCTTTTATAAGGAAGGTCCGTACGTATCGTTAATACTGTTTAATTTTAATATTATTCTAATTTCAATAAATGATTTATCAACTTAAACAATTTTTTAATCGTTTATCAAAATCAAAATTGATATAAGAATTAATGTTATGATATTAATACAATTAAAATGTTTCGTTTCAAATATGTTGAAATTTGTTGCACTGTCTTTTTTCACAATTTGTCTTTTAGATCTCAGTGATCACTGCGCTCTGAAGTGAAAATGTGTACACTGACGTAACTGGTCTTGTTTCTGCCGAGTAAACTGCTGTTGTTTCTGTCAGGATAACAGCTTGTGCGTAATTGACCAGCTGGTCGAGTCTGGTAACCCGATCCAAATATTAGTTATTATTATCCCTTGAATATTATCCCTTTCTAAATATACATACACTGCTCATGCCTCCTTGCTATTTGGTCTCCATTACGATCATAACGTATGTATAAACGCATAATATACAAGTAACATGTAACTTGTAATTTGACTTCACTTCATTGAATCTGTGGTCTGGTATAAATGTGGTGAAATCATGTTCGCAGTGCATGCGTGTAACTGGCGCTTGAAGGGAGACAACTCTTGTATGTACGTCACATTCTCAGTCGGGAGTTGTACGTGAAACATGGCTAGAACTGTCCTCTACTTTGCGTACGGCAGCAACCTTCTCGCGCAGAGGCTCTTGTTGAAGAACCCCACGGCGCAGTTTCTACATACAGCCAGGCTGGATGTGAGTAGTAGATTCAAACCGTTCACAGAGTGTAAAACTGCACAAGAGGTCCTCAATCGCCGGTCACAAAATCATTGCTTTTTGTGTTAATATATTCGCGTTTCTTTGTATGCATGTACCACACGCACCGCGGGGTGTGGCCGTAACGACCGAATTATTACCTGACAAAGAGCTGTAGATTGTATAGATCATGATTCTTTACCACGTGTTTTGGTTAACTCTTTGGTGATGCCATCATTCTACACGAGGCTTTTATTCTGTCCTTCTTTCTCGTGCTGCTATGATTTGTCTCGGAGCTGATGTTGGGCTTTGGGTTCTGTTTCATGCTGCGAACATTTTTACTCGGACTTCACGTTGGGATTTTTGTCCGTTTTCTACGTTTTTAAGCTCACTTACAGCTGTTAATTTCTCGAACACCGAACTTCTGCTTCTAAATATCATAAATAGTTTAGTTACATCAACATCAAATGTTTTATGTTTACACCATTTATTAAAAACAGAATTTATAGTGGAAACGTTTGGTAAAAATGCTAGGATATTCATGCAAAGGTAAAATATTTCAGTTCTGTCGGATGATAGCTTGTACGTAATTAATCGGTTGTGAAGTCAGTTGCCACTACCCAATCCAGATATTAGTATTTCAGTATAGATTCTCTTTCTAAATATAAATCGACTGGACATCCGACTCCCATCTTCTACTACAATAATTTGTGTCGAAGTTGGGCGTTTATCTCATCTCGCGTGCTACATTCTATATCACATGTTATATAGCCATTAAAAAGTGATTGTTGTTTCACAACCTGTTTACTTTAGCAATACATATCATGGCTGTCTGAAAATACATGACAGATAGCATGATCACTTACCCACGCCAATATGTCATTCCTGTAAATATGCGCGACAAAACTCTTTCGATTAAAATAATAACATAAAACCTTCAGTATACGATTTAGACTACACCGTGATTGATACAAGTAACGAAAAGCATTACCATGATCATACAATCTTGGCTAACAATCAAGTCAAAACATTGATTAAACAACAGTCTGGCTTCCTGCTGACTGGGTTCCGTCCTATTGCGCAACTTAGTACAATAACCAGTCCAAAAAGTTTGAGACCAGTTCATTCAACTGGATACATAAATATTAATCAGTATTATTTGGGGGCGGTGGGGTAGCCTAGAGGTTAAAGCGTTGGCTCGTCACGCCGAAGACCCGTGTTCGAATCCCCACATGGGTACAATGTGTGAAGCCCATTTCTGGTGTCCCCCGCCGTGATGTTGCTGGAATATTGCTAAAAGCGGCGTAAAACCAAACTCAGTCAGTCAGTCAGTATTATTTGATACATCTAACCACTTGTATATTGCAACACTACGCTCCTTCTAATCCCTGCAAACACGTCGTGCAGCGTGCTCTGTCAAAACGAGGCTCTGCCGCTAAAAAAAGTTTGGCGGTCTGGCACGGACTTGATATTATATCAATCACATTGTGCGTTACAAAACTACACTGAATAAGAACACATAACAGGTGTAACCAGTGAGCCAGATGAATTGTGAATCATTTTACGACCTCATCAACCAGGCGCAGTCTGTTCTTAAGGTCATGCTGCCTACACCTCGCCATAAAATATAGAAATACGTTGTTATTAAAGTTTAGAATTAAAATTAACCTGTAAATACCATTTTCGTATGAAACAAGGAATTGGATTTCAGTGTAAACATAGTTGTTTGTGGTGTCTCTTTTCACTTTCACACGAGAGAATTCGGATCGGCTGAAAAGTAGGTCATTGTCTGAATAGGTTAATGAGACTCATGTTTCGGTTTGGAATGTAGGACTAAATAACATAAACATGTGATACTAAGTGTTCGCTGAAAGGTACCATCCAGCCCATCGACGACACCGGTCACAAACACACGCAAAGGCAAATAAAGTGTTCAGCTAAATAAACACTGGATCACGTGGTTCAGGTGAAAACAGATAACTACTTAGGGCATTATTTCGATCACTGAACTACAGGCGCCTCAAATGGATTCGTCCCAGTGCTGTCTGACTCGACCTGTCTGAAATCTACAAACAAAACACCATGGCAACATAGAAATAGTTATATTTGATATTCACTATTGATGTGATTTATGACGTTAATATTCACGACATTATTAAATGCATAAACATGGTGAGAGACTGACAGTGCATTTCTGGCGTTCTCTCTGCTCCAAACGTATTTCCAATAACTTGTACAATCAATTGATGTCACCTCCTAAACAGAAACAGACATGAATCTTATAATAGCCAGTCTTACGATGATGTATCTGCTTCCTTCCAAACCTTTCATTTGGTTGCCATCAAAACCATTCAAAATACTCGGGTATTGGTCTGTAACAGTGCAATGGTATTGGAGGTACAGCCTAGAGAACGTTGAGAGAGGCTTGTGCTTGTCCACTCATATAGTCTAACTAGACATTTCTATACTAAGTTGGGAGGCGGAGGAGTAGCCTAGTGGTTAAGGCGTTCGCTCGTCATGCCGAAGATCCGGGTTCGATTCCCGACATGGGTACAATGTGTGAGGCCCATTTCCCATGTCCCCCGCCGTGATATTGCTGGAATATTGCTAAACGCGGCGTAAAGTTATACTCACTCACTCATTATACTCAGTTGGATTAGTCGATTATGTTCTAGAAGATTCCGAATTACAACCGACTCCACAAGTATCAAACATAGTTCACACCACTGCTTACATCAGATACTAAAAAAATAGTACAATCCTGACAATTTACTACTCTTACAACACAAATGAATGAACCTTAACGGAATCTTAACAGAAACAATGAATGTAACTATAATACGATTACCACATTCTTTAACCATATATTGTCCTGCCATATATAGTGAGAGATAAATAAAATTTGTTGGTCATTAACTTTGTGTGACACTGTAGGACTACCGTCTGACGTTTGACTCGCCGCAAGACACCAAGACGATGCTGTGGGCGGGAGCGCCCGCCACCATCAGGAGATGCCCCGGTTCCAGTGTCTGGGGCGTTATATGGCAGCTTGATATGGCCGACAGCGACAATCTGGACAGGTGAGTACCAGCTGTCGACAGTCATTGAAATAACACTCTGCCTTGTAAAAAGTATGAATCATAACGGTTGTGATCTACCATCAGAAGTGAGATCAGCTTTGGAAAAAATACTACCCATCAAAAGTTTAGACTCACTTAAATCACTCACTATATGTTGTGTTTTTGTGTGTTTTTTTTTTGTGTGTGTGTGTGTGTGTGTCACAGCATTCAGTTATCTTACAAGTCTTTGAGGATACCTTGTATAATTGACTCGGTGTAAAAGGCGGCTGAGTATTTGGTGTTTGTGCTAAGTGATCTAGTTGATTGTGTGATCACACGATGTTCATAATGTCAATCATTGGATTTCTGAAACCACTTTAATAGAGGAGAAGGTTGACACGACTTTGTCTTGAGCATGTTATGACAATTGAAACTTCACTAATATGCACGTTTGCTTCAGACAGGAGAGAAGATACCAACGCAGGACGGTGACAGTAACGACACCCGACGGCACAACGCACACGTGTCGGACGTACGAACTCGACGGGGAATTTGATATTTCACATACCCCCTCCCCTCAGTACAAGGACGTGATTGTGAGGGGAGCGAAACAAAGTGGTTTACCCCAAGCTTATATCTCCCAGCTGGAGGCTATAGAGGACAATGGATTCCAAGGAGAGATTCAAGTCTACAACCAACTTATATGTCAACTGGAAAAAACAACAACAACAATGACACGGGTTCGTTCAGTGTTATAGCTTCTTTGTATAATGGCTGAAAGTTACTGAACGATGTATTGTGTGTCTACCTTCAGCGCTAAATCCGTCTGAATATTCTATTAGCGTTGCTCCGGGATCAGTATCCTGACATGACCATCCTGAATAGATGGGTGCGGTTTTTCCTCAATAGGCAGTTCATATTGGGGGTTGCTGTTGAGTTAAGGTAATCCCCAGACACAGACAAACAGATCAAGATGTAAACATTAGTTTGTTATCCTGAGTGCTTGTATTTGACGTTATGTTACAAAGACTGTAACAAAAGCTCACCCGGTGCCTACGCGATAGACTGTCTCACAATTCCTAAACCATATTAGGTTCTGTATCGTCTTAGAACTGACTGTAGTAATGCTATACATCACTAAATGAAGCAACACTAGATTTTCGACAGGTTCAGGATCTCAGATGGGCTCCGTTTAACATTAAAAGTGATTCCTTCTTTCTGTCAACATTATATGAACAGGTCTGTCAGCTATGATTACATTTTCTACGTTTATATTTTGAATTGTCTTTGCTCAGGGCAGGGATTTACAAATAAAGGATGTCATTTTTTCTGGTGTTCCGTATTTATTATTGGCACGTGTTAATGACAAGTGCCACCATAGGGACAGGATATATCATGGCAGTCAACATACACACATGCTCATGACATCGGAATCCTACTTCGTTTTTATTAGAGATGACGAGCGTTGTGTTTAGTTACTACGCTCGGATTAGTATCGGACTGGTTTTATAACACAGAAATAAGCACCTGGGTGAAGTTGCTGGGAAACATTGAGTCATTCCAATGTTTGCTGTCATGAGCACCGACCACGCCGCCGGGTACGGCGACACGCTGGCAACCAGTACCCAAGCCTGATCAACCGATCCGTCAGAAGGCTACTTAGGATCACTTCTAACATGGAATTCCCGCGGGGGTTCCAACACAAAGTCAAAGTGCCGGAAGTAGAAAGCCCAGCGACATGTAACCGATGCACATATCCTGCAGTACAGCCTGCAGTCTAACAAGACAAATAATGTCAGCTGGGTGATACAAATGATGCTTTCTGTGTGATTCAAATACCCTCAAAAAGATTACGGTAACAATATTTAAATGTATATTTGGCTACACTTAAACTCAAAGGCGTTGTTGTTGTTTTTCGTTTACCAGAAGTATTTATGTTGTTTTCTCAAATCAGAGAAGTGAACTTAGAAATTTCAATCCATGCCAGGACTAAAGCCGGCGCACCACAAGCATCGGTGGCAAGGCAATATCACCATAGCAACCAAGGGTGGTTACATCGGGGTCCTTCACCTCAGAACGAGAAAATCCACTTGAGCATAACACAAATTCCAGGATTATACGTCCGAACATAGTACAGGTCACGAGTTTCCGGATTTCGCGGGACGAACATTCTTCTATTGAGTTGGAGTCTTTACGGCAACGTTATCGGTTTCCGGGGTTCCCCTGACATCTGCGTAACGTTTGGCCTCCTGACACATTGCGTTGCCTTATCAACGTATCTGCATTTCTGCGACATTGTACCGGAAGTTGCGCACAAGACGTTGACAGATTCGACATCTCGAGAGGGCGAAGACCACAGGTCGTCGTTCGGTACAGGCGGAATATGTGTCGATCCCCTATACAGCTGTGTCATTTTGCCATGGCCCCATGTTCAGGACAGTTCAGAAGATGATCTATCAACTCCCTCCAACAAACAGGCACTCCACAGACGGTACGCGTGTAGGATCTCCATCTCCCGTGCTCACTGGAATTGCCTGTAACCTTAGAGTAAGAGTCTTCGTATATGCGAATGTACTCCGGAATACACCCTTGCTAAACCACACCGGACAACATTTGAAAATCAAACTAACTTTGGAAGCTATCATGATCACTCGTGTGTATACGGGAATTCATCCAGACCATGTAATATGTGATTGATCAAAACATTCAGAACTCCAATTCCCCAGTCTAGAATTCATTTAATAAACAAAAACAGACGCTATTTTCCACGCCAGCTGAACACAAATTGGAGTCCTGATGAATCGTTGAGCGTGTTTTGGTCTGCCCATGAAGCCATGCAGCTAGGTGGTTCATCGAATATATCCTGTAAGGCTAGTGTGCACTGTTTGTCGCTTCACTTACACTGATAATGACACAGGGAATGATCATTGTCGGCTGAAAATTAACACAGGGAGATGGGTGCGTTACTTACAGTACAACAGTGGATGACTAGAAACGGATGGTTCCCGTCCAAAGATCCAAATCTCATTATATATACTATTCAGATTATTATATCCAGTCCAGATATATCCTACAAATCTTATTCACTGGACATCAGATGAATTTATTTAATTGGTTTGAAAGTTATTTAGAAAACAAAGGTAAGGTATTCACTGTTAGAGTTCTAATGGACGGCCACTGATGCCTGGAATGCCACAGGGATCAGTACTGGCACCTTTACTATTCACTATGTATATGACATTATGGAAGGTATTGACAGTGACAAAACAATTCTATTTCAAAGATAACGACAAAAGATATTTCCGTAACATTTGAAATATCCACTAAAACCAAAAGTATACTTCCAGGTTCAGAAATACGGTGTATATGACATGTCTACGTTAAGAGTGGTATGAGCATCAGCAAAGCGACTTTATGCTAAACGTGTACACTGGTGGTCACGTGTATGCGTCAATAAAATCAAGTCATGAAATATGTCAAAACATGATTTCACACACCGCTCGTTTTCACAAATATCTGTTGCGATGATGTTAGTGAGTTACGCCGTCAGCGCAATGAAATGAAATGAGCTGCAATTTATAGAGCTGCGTGTCGTGATCTGTCAACATAAGGGAGACAACTCTTGTATGTGATTGTCCGGTCACATTCCGTGCCGTCTGAGTTGCACGAGCAACATGGCTAGAACCTTCCTCTACTTTGCGTACGGCAGCAACCTTCTCGCGAAGAGGCTTCTGTTAAAGAACCCTACGGCACAGTTTTTACATACAGCCAGGCTGGATGTGAGTATTTTTGTAGAGTGTATAATTTTAAAAAGCTTCGAGAACAAGACATGAACAACTCGGCACAGATTTAACAAGAGAAAGCTGTAGGTAATAAGGTACATGTAAATCAAGGGTTGAACGGCGCATTCAAGACTTCACAAGATATATTTTACAACGACGTGCACATAGCTGCCTGTCCCATCTTGTGTCGGTTTTATAGTATTAATTCACCGACAGTTCATGTCGCCGTAAACATTGATGTACCCTACCCAGAGCACGACTCGGGGCCGGCTGGTGGTGCTATAGGTATTTCCGTTTAAGCAGGAGTACGAGGCACATTTTGGTGTAAAGGGGGGAAAATAGCTGTGGAATGAATGGATCACTGAAAATCAGTGGCGACACCAAGTGTACGCGAAAAGTGAATACGTACAACCGGAGCACCCGCCTTACACACAAATGTTTGTGAATCGCCGTCTGACAAGTTATTCCTTATTATATTTTACAATAGTTTATTTGTTCCACTGTAAGTCGAAGGGGTTCAATATCCATTACATGGATACCCTATAGTCATACCGAACCGAACAACCGATGCTGAGATATTGGTAGTGTTAACTTTGCCAAACCTATAAAGCTGTGATGAACAGTTTTAACATGGCGCCTATCATTGTTATCATTGCTGATTGAAACGTTGTATTGTTAAACATTATTTACAGATTGCCGCCATATGGCTGGAATATTTCTGAGTGCAGCGTTCAAAATCAAACACACATAACGATTGATAATCAGGTTATTGCGTGAATCAGCCCTAGTTTTATGTCCCCGAGTCAGGGACGGGCCCGTCACATGCTAGCATGTGTCAAGCGTTATGTAAAACACAAGGGAATCCAGCACACACACAGTCATACTCAACCGTGACAGGTGTAACACAAATCTGGCGCTAATTACACGCCGAGTGCACTAGAAGATCATTGCTAATTGCAAATAAATAGTACACGAATACATCAGAACTACGACCTTGCATTTTGATGTAGGGACAGTGGGTGGCCTAATGGTTAAAGTGTTCGCTCCCGAAGATCGGGGTCGAATCCATACATGGCTCCAATGTTTTAAGTTCATTTCTGGTGTCCCCAGCCGTGATATTGCTGCTCCGATGCCTTTCCTGTGAACCATCACTGATATCTGACAATGGCCAGTTTGGATAGTTAATAGATGCACATGTATAACATTACTTAGTAGCGTGTGGGTGTAAGCATGCGAATCACCTGGATTTTTTTATAATTAAAACCAGGAACATCTGTGTATCGTTGGCGAGATTGTTAATCAGCTATACTAATCAAACAAGCAAGGTTTCGCAGCGTGTTGAGTCCAGTGGTTCTGACGCCAAAGGTTATTCTTCACAGGTATTTGTACACAATGGCAGGGGGTGCCTGTCTATTCGTGACCAACTCGTGTTATTCCGGGACAAGCCGAATAGTGACTCGTGCCCCTCAGGAAGGATTTCATATTGGCGCATGAACATCAGAACTACTTTAAACAAAACGATAACTCTATCCCTGTTTGATTCCAATGTTACTTAACATCACCGAAGCACTCGTACATTGCATTACCTTTTTTTTCACTTATTTATTTTAAAGAATTAAACCTGTTTGATAGAACTAAAAGAAGGAGAAAAACATATTTGTTAAAGACATATTCTAACGTAATTATCACCAACTGTTCACCTTATATTTCCAATTATATACTCATTCCAATAATGGTTGTCACCCCTTCAATTTTTTTATTGGAGAGGTGTGTGTGTGGGGGACAAACCATTATTGGCATGAGTATATTTCTAAATAGGGTTTAATAATCACAAATGGGAATTGTTTTATTGAATATGCAAATAAAATAATCTTTTTTGATTGTATTGATGAGCTAGTTAAAGCGATTTAAAAAGTTTAGATTCTGTTCATCATCAGGGCCTAAGGTTATGCCTTGGAGCCTTCAGAACGTCACCAATTCATAGTTTGAACGGGAAGTTAGACGCGTTGCCTCAAAACTACGTCGCATTAAGTTTTCTTTATGGTATATGTCTACATTACGTTCTACGAAATCCAATCATACATTTGACAGCATTTTTATCCTCTTTATAAAGAACTCTTTAATAACAAATCATCGCTTATTCCACAACTTGGAATAAGAATACAATCTGTATTTCTGCAGCTGAAATAGATCTTGAGAATGTAGCCCCAACTCAGCGTTTCTCATCTCCACCAGAGCAGATACTGAAGCCAGAGGAAACCAAACAATAACTAAACTGAAGAAATCTGAAACAATAGTTACCACCAACAATATAATGAATTAAGACACACTAATGGTACTTACAAATCTGCCTTCACCGTTGGACCAATGATGGTTTAAAAGTTGCTATTACCACTGTCACTGAATCCAGAAGAGTATCGTCAAGAATACAAGATGGCAGCTCCAATTTACAGCAGATGTGAAAAGCCTTATTACAACACAACATCGGATTTGTGTCTGCTCTGTGGCGATGAGAGTAATGACTTTGTGCATCATCAGCTGCTGACTGTCCTACAGCACGCGAGAAATACACTGTATGAGAAACTATTTGATAATCTGACACTCCATCAACATATGCTTCTGGAAGATTGTGTGGATGATGGATAAAAGATTGTGACACTACTTGGTGGCATTACACACAACGTAGACTGCATGGACCTTACAACATGGCCGACCTTCATTAACATCGTCTCCAGACAAATGAGTTCCTATAACCTACAGTCTATACTGTACCTGGGCCCCGTTCCTCAAAGCGATTGTAGCGTTACGACTGTCGTAAGTCTATGTTAAAGCATGAGAGTTACGACTGTCGTAGCGCTACGATCGCTTTGAGGAACGGGGCCCTGTAGTATGTACATTCAGTGTGTAAATAAAATCCCGGGGAAAACCCAGGGGTGGCTGTGTCTCACCCAGCAAATCTAATGATGTTTTATGTTCTTTCAATAGGTTCTGAATTGACGCAGTGTTAACATATATATAGTATATGAAACAACTGTACTCTCCGCAACCAGTGAAGGGAACAAAGATCATTCATTCATTCATTCATTAGATGGTAACAAAATTCGGACAACTAATACTTTCAAAACAAAAATTTATGAACCTCAACGGAATATTAATAGAAACAATGTTATTTAATACAATTATTATAACAATATTTTTAGCAATGCATTACTCTGCCATATACTTATAAATGAATAGTTTGTCATTAGTTTTGTTTTGGTGACACTGTAGGACTACCGCTTGACGTTTGACTCGCCGAGAGCTACCCACACGATGCCATGGGCGGGAGCGCCTGCCACCATCAGGAGATGCCCCGGATCCTGTGTCTGGGGCGTTATATGGCAGCTTGATATGGCCGACAGCGACAATCTGGACAGGTGAGTACCAGCTGTCGACATTCATTGAAATAACACTCTGCCTTGTAAAAAGTATGAATCATAACGGTTGTGATCTACCATCAGAAGTGAGATCAGCTTTGGAAAAAATACTACCCATCAAAAGTTTAGACTCACTTAAATCACTCACTATATGTTGTGTTTGGCGTTATATGGCAGCTTGATATGGCCGACAGCGACAATCTGGACATGTGAGTCCCAGCTGTCTACATTCACAGTTAGATTAGTCTAATGAACAAGCGGTCCACGTGATTTATTTAACATGTTAAACGTAGTTGTTCTGGTCCAGGCGTTATTCATGGTTATTCGCATTTAATGTCATAATTCAGTTTTTAGTCCATATTTTATTCCAGTGGATACAAGTTCGAAATTATGTATTCATCAACATAAAATGTTAAACATAGTTCTAGTAGTTCCGATGGTATTTATATAGAGTTATTCACCTTCAAGGAAAATATTCAGTTTACTTTTCAAGCAAATTCAACATCACGTTCAGGTGAGGAGACACGTTTTGGGACCTATCACTATTCGTATATGTAGTTGCCTGTATGAATATCACAAAGAAATGATATTGTAATGCCATATTGACGGATTTGTTTGTTTGCCAGGCAGGAAGTATTTTACCAACGCCGGACTGTGACAGTAACGACACCCGACGGCACAACGTACACGTGTCGGACGTACGAACTCGACGGGGAATTTGATATTTCACATACACCATCCCCCTCAGTACAAGGACGTGATTGTGAGGGGAGCGAAACAAAGTGGTTTACCCCAAGCTTATATCTCCCAGCTGGAGGCTATAGAGGACAATGGATTCCAAGGAGAGATTCAAGTCTACAACACACTTATATGTCAACTGGAAAAACAACAACAACAATGACACGGGTTCGTTCAGTGTTATAGCTTCTTTGTATAATGGCTGAAAGTTACTGAACGATGTATTTTGTGTCTACCTTCAGTGCTAAATCCGTCTGAATATTCTATTAGCGTTGCTCCGGGATCTGTATCCTGTCATGACCATCCTGAATAGCATTCTCTTCCCACAGAGGTTACTCCTGTCATACCTTCCTACGTAGGAAGATATGACAAGTAACCTCTGTGGGAAGAGAATGCCTGAATAGATGAGTGCGGTTTCTCCTCAATAGGCAGTTCATATTGAGGGTTGCTGTTGAGTAAAGGTAATCCCCAGAGACAGACAAACAGATCAAGATGTAAACACTATATAGTTTGTTATCCTGAGTGCTTGTATTTGACGTTGTGTTACAAAGACTATAACGCATGCACGCCCATCCCCTCGGCCCTGTCCGCCATGACGTCAACTGGCCTAAGGCAATGTTATCATTTCTTTATCTGTCCACTGTTGTCTATTATATATGTTCACATCTATGCTGTCAAGCGCGCTAAATCTTCAAATCATCATCATCATCATCATCATCATCATGTCAGGCAGTGTGGTATACCCACTGAACCTGTATGCATGACCGTGAGTCAGATATCCCTGCTTGCTGGACTCGTCCTATCATAGTAAAGTATACTCATTCAAACACGAATGGGAACACCCTTTACATTGTATACTTCGTCTTTAATGGAAACTGTATATATAAAAGAAGCATCAAAACAACGTTCAGAGGTGTTTTTCGAAAATGCAAATGTTAAGTATTAACACGTGTAATTGAAACCTGTTATGATTCATACTGGTTGCGTTTTGGCGCCCGTCATTATAACAGAAACAAATGGAAATTGGTTCAAATGTAAACATTGAATGAGTGTATCTGCCACGGCCCAAAACGCACCCACGTGCATTACGTGATGCTTGACAAACAACTGCGCCCATGGAAATAAAACTAGAGTTGCAGACATTTCGACACTCTTCATTTCTTTATTCAATATGGTGCGTCGACCTCTGAGCATTGAAAATGTTAGAGAAATTCCTAGACGCCTGCAGAGGTTCTATGGGAACGATTTCAGGCAACTCGGAGGGTGTAGGATCGACCACGCTCAGGCGGACAAAGATCCATGGGCTGACGACTAGTCTGTCTCACAGTCCCTGAATGTCTGGTCTCCCTGCGGCTCCTTTTCAATTTAAATGGGATTGTTTGTTACTATCAAAATTATATGTACTAGTATTCAGAGACTAAGCGTTAGTCTAGCTGACGACCGGTAATGTTGTGACTGTGGGTTGGTGATGGTCTGGGGCGGCTGCAGCTTACATCACAGAAAACACCCCACCATCCCCCCTCTATCACGTTGAAGGCAAGATGATAACGCCAACCCCCCTCTATCACGTTGAAGGCAAGATGATAACGCCAGACGTCTTCCTGCACGTGTTGTTACAGACTTTCTCAACAATAGAAGAGAGAATGCAATGGCCAGCTTTTTTCCCTGGCCTCTCCTCAATTGAACATGTCTGGGACGTTGGATTTGTTCAACATGAGAGGCAAGCAATACCTCAAGTATCACTACGGACACTCGTCAAGCCCATCAGATCCCACTGTGAAGAATGTATTAGGAACCGTGGAGGTCACACTCATTATTTGCAGGGCGACGTGACTTTTGAAAATGACCCCTTGACTTCAAAACCAATGTACGGATATGTTGCTGGAAATTGTTTATTGAACCTGTTCCTGCAATTAAACCATTAAATATTCCATTTTTGTACCTACTTAACGTGTCAGAGTTGTTGTTTTAAATCAAGGAGATATTTTGGAAATATCGGGTGTTCCTATACGTGTTTGAAGTACTATAAACTACTGCTCAACTTATCTATTGATGTAATCCGTTTATTGTTTAACCGATTAAAGAAGTTTGGACTCAACATATTCGTTCGTCTTTGTCAACATAAAATTCTGAGCTAATTCCCCGGTCTACACATATACGCGATGAAACAGGGATACAGTTTCAGCATAAATGGTCTTCACGCATGGTTTTCGGCGTGACGAGCGAACGTTTTAACTAGTCTACCCCCACCGTCCCCAAGTTTCAATACATTCAGGCAGTATCTGCTTGATGTGGTATGAGAGCCCAAGGTGATGCTCGCCTTTGGTGACACCCATGAGAATGGCAATCACAATCACGTTAATGTACTGATACAATACTTGTGCGGCTACACTCGGAAATGACAATGTGCAATTGGGAATCTTTTTCTAAAGTTTTCACTATTAATCTCCTAACGAAGCTGATTTTCCAATAGGTAAAACACATGGTGAAAATGAGTATCTATATTACCATATCTATTCATACACTCAATTTCAAATAGTTATTTTGACAGGTCCTAGCCGTACCTATAAGTATCCATGCAAGTATGGTCCATTTGTCATATGAACACTAACCACTCCACAAAATGATTTAGAGTCTGAACCGGGAACTCTGCCAACTGTACAGGAGATCCACAGTGCCCTTGCCACATTATTCCTTCCTCTACAGTAGAGGCAAAACTGTTTCACCCAGCACTAATTCATAAATGTGAAATAACTGAGAATGGCCACCTTTTTGACCAGACAGATGTCACCCGTATTTCAAGACAAAGGGAAGTGGGCGTTGGTCTAGTTTTCATATTAGTGTGCGTTAGTAAGACAACCACAAGGTGAAAGTCTGGTCGTCTTGTTCTTCAAAAGCACCGGCTATTTCTCTGCACAGTGTGGTAGGGTAGTCCGGTGGTGAAAGTGTTATCCGTCAAAACGGTTTTATTCCCCAAAATACATGGAGTACTGCCGAGATAAGCAGGATGCGTCTGCACAAAGCAGTCTTAACGCTAAGGTCATCGTAACTCCCATACCTTAACACAGACTTACGATAGTCTTAGCGCTGGGGTTATTTTGTTCAACGGCACCAAGGAATGTTTAAGCGGACAGAAATTTGAATCATTCACTCTTTAAAATGAAAGGCGCTTGAAGGGTCTGCACTAACGGCACAGGTTCATCACGTAAATTCTCTTTCTTCTGACGATTTGATTTTCGCAGAATTGTTGCCTCCGTTCGTCCACTTCCTGTGTACTAAATAACGCCATACTCAACATAATAGTGCTGACCACCCAACATAAGCACAATTTCAAATATTTATTTACAAGTGTACAACAGTGCTATGAGTGTAGGTCGTATATATTGTGACAGTCGGGGGTTACATTCTCCAGCAGTACTGATGACCCATTGTACAACTGAACTTCACCCTCCAGGAGGGTCTCCAGAGATACCTCTACCGGAAGTAGCGCTCCAGAGTCCGACACGAACAGCCGCAGCTTCTGAAACAGAGTAAGTGAGTCACTTTGGTTAACTCCACTTTCAACTGTCGCTCAGTTAAAAATCTAATGTAACATCATCAACTTAAGAGTGCGAAAAACGAGAGTATGGATTTAAGCTGTGTGGAACCAGTCCGGTGATATTATGTCTGCAATACCACAAAAGCTGATAAGTACACATGTGAGGAGTGAACACTGCTCTGGGTGTGACAGGTGGGCACTTTATCCGCTGGGCTACCCTTCAGCAAGTTTATTCATTAAGCAGGTGACCTTGCTCCTATATAGACAAATTTTATGGCTAACAACTTCTCTATTTCGTGAGTGCGACCTTTAAGAGATTCTTGTACCATTGTCAAGCTTGAATCTGTGTTGAAACATACAGTACAAGATTCTGTATTAAAACATCACACGCATGAAATAAAGAAGTTGTTATCCATAAAATTTGCCTATATTGTACTTCCCAACTTCTAAAATTCACTGAAAGACATGACCCTGCTCCTGACACTCACCTTCTCGGCTGCGGTATTGTTGAGATTAGTGACACCAGCTGTTGATGCAGCAAAGTCAATCATTCTCCCTATTGTCCACTTCTGCCAACACCAAAAAGAATCACGATATACAGAAATATATGGAACTGTAATTTGTAAAAGCGCAAACAAATTATTTCAAGCCACTGTCATCAGCCAACAGAACATCTGTCGGTTCGATGATGCCAGCACTGATCCACTGGGATGCAGCAACAAACCAAAGACATCATACACATGTAGTGAACAAAGGTTGAGATAGATTATAAATATTGTTCAGATATTGCTCTGTAGTGAAAGCTGAGCTCACAATTACATAATAATACCCAAAAAATATTCATGAAAAAAAGTCCTAACAGTTTTTCAGCTTCAGAAGCTGAAGATTGATGATCCGAGAAGTCAATAATTCTGACATACAGTCCTGCAACACAATGTACTGTCATATCACCAGAGGGAGGCAGATTTGCATCCTAAATCAGATTAAAACGACCGGTGTGGTTCAGCAACAGACCTTAGAGAAATACATGGCCTTGTGTGTCTGTGATGCTGGTAGCTGGACTGAGAGGTGGATCTTCTCACACTCCGGGATTCCCTTCTCACCCACTGCATGCTGCTTCAACTTCATTAAGGCAACTTTAGCTGCCATCTTTGGATTCTTGGAACCTCGATGTTTGGGAGGGCCAATTTTGCCTTTCTTTGATTCTGGAACAAAGATGTTCCTCAGTGCTTCAGTTATAGGTCTGTGGAAGCATGGGAGTTCTAGATGTTGTATAACCCAGTATGTGAATACTGATAAAACTGGAATCAAAGTCAGATTGAATCTGGAATTCATGACATCATCAGACTGTGGACACACATGACAGGCACCAGAAACAGCTGCCTCTAATATCACATCAGAGCAGCACAACCCCACTGCTCGGACTTACAGCTCCTCCTACTGATCTGATCTTTCAGTAAAAACAGAAAGAGCATCAATGTAACCCATTTTGTGGGGAGTGAGAATTTACCAACCACATACTGAGCTCTTAAACAATGAGGCTTTCATATGGTACTGTTACTTTGCTTATATTAGGGCTGGGACGGTAACTCTAACCTAGAGCAATATGGACGACACGCATGCTAAGTTGAGTGTTTGGGCTCAATTTGAGCTTGATGCAAATGGCAAGAGAACCAAATGCCGACTCTGTGGTATCATGTCTGAAATTGATAGTACAGTCTGCTTATGGTTTTGAGATTTATCAGTGTTAGACCCTGCAAGTGAATTCTACTGAAGTGGTGAAGGTGTGGACTTATTACTCCTGGGCTTCATCCCTTTATGAAGCTGACACGCCAAGATCAGGATATACTTAATCTCATAATTTAACACAGTTACAAATTTGAAGACCCATACGGTTTTTCAATCTAATATGTCAATCTACTGCGGAAGCTGTACAAGGTCAATGCAAAAACATCTTGCACTAAAACACAACCTAAACAATAAACGTGTTCATTACATTGTGTACTTGTGTTCATTGCTTATCAAGCTTTTAAGATTACATGTACATTTCTATTTTATTTCAATTTCATGAAACACAGTTTTTACATTTATGCTTAACATGAATACATTGACTATTAAAGAGATTGCAATTAAATGATTGAATGTGTTGGGAATATAAATTAAAACTAAGGAATTAACATTCTGATTTGCAAATACAATGTTCGACTGGTTATCATTACAATAAGAAGGAAGATGATCAGAAATAGAAGCAGAACTCCCGTGAACATATACATTTTATAGTTTAACAAATATTAATCAGCATACAGTTATTCCAATGAAGAGATACAATTTTAGAATATCGATTTAACAATAGTTTTGTTTTTCATTTAATAGGAAACTGTAATGCAACTGAGTTGCTAACAGAGCAAAATGACCAGTCTTCCCAGATGCGAGCCAAGCATTTTGCTATATTGCTTAACTCAGTTGCATTAGAGTTTGCCTGTCTGTATATCTCGTACACAATTCCCGGTCAGTAAATACATCAATCAAATTGTATTCTATGCAAGTTTACATAAAGTCTGCATGTAAAACATTATATGTTCAGTTAGAATATCACACATGAACGTAGTTGTCCACTGGCTGAATGAATAACTGGTCTTTTCATTATTAACGCAACACACATTTTTGCATTGTCCAGTTAATGGAGGTTATTATCAACGACGGTAATTTATCTGCTACATGAGCAGTGAGAAGTCAAATCACAGTAACAGCGGGAATGAAAACTTCTGTGTTTTAACAAATGTTTTGTGTTTTAAGTAACAATGTAAGTAATGGTGTTACTCTTTATATTAGTTATAAACAGACGTAAATCAAATAGCCTAAGATCAGTTCCAATGTCCCATTGCCATCCTTTGAGGTTTGGTCAAATCGTGATTGAATATTCAGAAAGTTGACTGAAGCTATGTATTCCTTACATTTCCGGGTACTCGATTCCGATTCGGGTAAGTACATGCGGGTACTCGATTCCAATTTTTCCTACCCGTCCCAGCCCTAGCTTATATGAGATGATTTTTTTATTTGGAAAGTTTCAAATCTCTTTGCAATGATTATGAACATAATAGAGGTGTCTTTCTTGAATTATTTTATATGTTAAGAACTTTGTCTTTATCTTACCAACATAAACACTCAGACAAATGTATATATCTGTTGTTTAATAACTCACTCAGCAACATTCTGGTTAGATGATGGTGGTCTGTAAATAATCGAGTCTGGACCCAACAATCCAGTGCAGGAAGCCATGAGCATCAATCTACACAACTGGGATATGACAACATGCATGGACCTATTCTCGAACCTGGCAACCTGACAGCATTAGACATCTCTAACAAGCACAGGTTGCTGGAGACCAGCTGTAACTCAGATCGTCATGGGTTACCCTCATAAGTACAGAAACATGCTGAGGCAGCAAAACACAGAAGATTCTGGGCTATAAGAGATGCCAGCAAGTAAGATTGTTTTTAAAGATGGCTTAGTTAATCAGATGAACAAGGTGACACCTGATACCCTTATAGTGGCAGATGCAATGTACCAATCACATGTTTATCTGGACCTGACTTGATTATATACAGGCCACCAGCTGGAGTGAGTGAGTGAGTGAGTTTGGTTTTACGCCGCTTTTAGCAATATTCCAGCAACATCACGGCAGAGGACACCAGAAATGGGCTTCACACATTGTACCCATGTGGGGATTCGAATCCGGGTCTTCGGCATGACGAGCCAACGCTTTAACCATTAGGCTACCCCACCGCCCCCGCCACCAGCTGGAATATTGCATAAAAACAACCAAAAACAAAAACAATGTCAACCCACCAAGTATTTGTTTGACATGTTCTGCTGTCTTGGACACCTTCACAGACAGATCGAGTTTCTCACATCGATGATCCTGCTGGTGCCGGTGGCTGTAACAGAGAAGCAGTAGTACAGCAGGATAGTCCTACATCTCAGGCCTCAAACACAGACCATGAGCTGGAATCTGAAGTTAACTTTCCTTAGAGTTACAGCGTTAGGAGCCAGCAAAATATCCCATCATAAACCAAACAAATCCGACTTCCGTGGAGGCTGGTTGCACTGCGTGAATTTGTTATTGTTCGCACGGTATGGCCCAAGTGTCACAAAACAGCTTTCTAATTAATTAAATCACTGGAATGAATCTTTCAGATGAAGAAGTAAATTTGCTATGTATGGCCATATATAACTTCAGGAAACTTTGCTTCCTACCAACAAATTTGTCCCTATATAATCGGACATATAAACATTTTTTAAATGATCTGGGCTTGTTTATTTTTCAATTTCCCTCCTCCATCCAACCAGTTTAGTCCAAAGAACGTGTAGTACAACACAAAAAACGGGACCAGCCTTATTGAAATATAGACGTCCCTGGAGAGGTGTACCTGAGACAGAAGCTCCTGCTGCAGTGAGGACACAGGACAGGCGTGAGTTCCCTGCTGTGGCAGTTCTCCAGCATACAGGTGAAGCCCTTCTCGCCTGTGTACTCTACAGGGTTGTCTTTAACACAACTCTGGAAGAAAATACCAACCAATTAGTATTTCTTTTGTAATTGTCTCTGTATAAATGTTTTAAAGTTAAAAATGTCCAGAACAAGGACTGATGTCATCATTGGAGGAAACAGATTTGGTAAGTTTCAGCTTCATAGGTGCAGACGTTTTGGAGAAGTCAGTGTTTACAGAAAATGCATGACAAACAACTGACAAACACACCATGGCATGACCCAACTTGCCATGAGACGATACAGTCTGTAATTGCTCACCACTTTTAACACGAAAAAGCACGTGAAACAGAATCTGTCAACATTTTCTGTGAGACAGAATGAAGTAATAAAGTGATAAGATTCATTAAGAGTGCCAGGGATGAAAAGAACTTTAAAATTGCTAGTGTACTCGGGTACAGTCGCACATGTAAAATCACTTGCCCTGGTAATGTTCCCACTATACCGGCCGATTTTCTTGTTGATTATTTTCAAAAAGCAACATAATTAACATTGGGAAGTCAACTGGACATTGGTACAGCGTGATATACAAATTTGCTTGCCCAACAGAAAAAAACACTGGACTCGGACGTTGGGCAATGGGTTATTTCCACCCCTGAGTGCATAACTTATTATTCTTTCAAAAAAAAATCTCCACCCAGTCAACTGCTATGGAATGTCAGCTGTTTTTACAACCGAATATGCAGATGACCTTTACTGTGACCATGACCTTGTGTGAAGGTCATTCTCAACCCTTGGTGATAGCCGTATGGTAGCAAGAACAAAGTTGATTTTACCTTCAGTAAATCCTTATTTCTTAAGCGTGGAAGAAACATTTTGGTTTTTCTGACAAGGACCTTGAGGACCTTTGATCCTCACATGACTTATTCAATGCAATAATGGAAGACAATCATCACTTTTCTGTCACCAACCAATCAGGAAACAGTATTGTGCTGTATGGAGTCTTTAGTGTCACACGATCTCTTTATGTATAATTTGAAAATGGATGCCAGGTAAACAGACCATAACAACTAAAATGATGTAATGCAAAAAGATCATCAACTTACACGGGAGCAGTTATGTCCATCCTTTGTTCTGTGATTCAGGCTGGAACATTTAATGAATACATGTTAATATGTCGTTAATGCAAATGTCGACAAGATATGGTATTATATCTAACCTCAGGTGATAATTATTGATAATGTTTGAAGGTAGCAACTGAGTTCAGTATAACGCTGCTTTCAGTGGTATTCAGTATCGACACTATAGACATCCTGTCAAAAGGTAACCCAGTTACTATAAGGGTAATGCTATTTTTGAGGGCATTATCATTTTCAGAAGCCCGAGGTCTTCCATTAACTGCCCGACGAAGGAGAGCAGTTGAAAAAGACCGAGGGCTTCTGCCAATGATAATGCCCTCGAAAATAGCATTACCGTTATTATTGCTAAAGTACATGGAATTTGTGTTGAAAATAAAAAGGAAACAATGAAGGAATTTGACTGTTAGTTTACTCAAAACCAACTTCTGATGGGGTTGACTGCCTGAATGCAATTACGTCATCAAACAATTCAAGTGACGTCACAACAGAAAGTGAGGATATTCGACCTTGGTCTTTGACAAGACCATAGCCTGCAACATGTCAAACTATGTCAGTGTTCGGTTTTGGTCCAACAACAACGTTAATAGTGTATTGCTGAGGTTAGCCCCAGCAAGAAAGCCAATATTACCGCTATTTAAGGCAGGAATTCGGGTTGCTTTGACTTGTTTGACCCAGAATATCTGCCAGTCCAAAGCCAATGTCGAATGAACCGTAAGCCCACGCACCCACTATGACGTCACTTGACAACAGAACTGATAGTGACCCGTCGTTAAGGTTGAGCAGTCCAATATCATATGCAGCGGCCCGCAAATTTCTGATAATGGGAGGGCCGTTTCATGATAATCCCATGTATTTTAGCTATAATGTCATATATTTCAGATAGCTCTGATGACCTTACACCTTCCCTTCACCGATACCAGATAACCACTTTTCTCAAGTCAACTGAATATAAACAAGTTACTAATATAGGTATTACTCCAGTAGGTAGACGTTTCCCTGGAACTACCTTGTGGCTTTGGATTGTATCTGCAACATGCAACTTGGGCCTCGTTACAAAGCCAAGTCCACTCAAATTTCATTTATCAACCTAATTGACAATAGTCCTAATGTAACATGTTATTTCTGGAATTACACTTTCTCAGTAACATACAGATACTAGTACTCTTGTTAGGTTGAGACCCATCCGGGATTTGAACCCACACTCTCAGAGTCAGGCACCTTATCGCCAGCACACACAGTCAGTCATGTAACCCACTCAACCCCTGTGACTTCCAATGGGTCTCCATGTGCTTTCCCCTGAGAGTAAGGGTTCGAATCTCTTACGCAGTATATTGCCGATTGTGAAATATTCACTCACACTTGCGCTATCCTGAACACAACACAACAGATCTGCCACCTTGTATGGTAAAGTTGTATTGTATAAGCAAAGCGTGTTACTCACCAGTATATCTTTTCACATCCATCACACTCAAATGGGAGAAAATCTGGGAAAGTAAATGAGAAAGATTATGGCAGGAACCCCAAAACACTGTGTATATATTACTAGTAGTTTGAATATTTAAACCAAAGACATTGAGTGATTAAGATAATGTGCATACATGCATGTGTGTGGCGGCTTGAACTACACCACACAAATACTGGTTTTATAGTGCTCGTCCACGGAAAGACAATGTCACAAACAGCCTCCAAACCGACCAGTCCTTGTATTATGGCCCCACGTTGCAGGCCAGAAAAGGCAGTTAATGTTACACATGAGGTAGCCAATCATGCATACACATTCAACAATATGGAATACTCAAACATATTGTGTTTATCTTGTTTGAACTGATACCCATGTTTATTCTCAGTGTGCTAATGATAAAAATCTGTAATTGGTTCATGGGGTTTTGATAATGTAAAAATATTGCAGTATATTTAATTATCAAATGGCGGTAAAAGGGAGACCACCAATGTTTCACTCTCAAGGCAGCACTCTAACCACCAGACCACAGAGGCAGATTGTCTGTAGTGACTTTGTGTGAGGTAATCCTGACAACTTATGTTCCCAGATAATTTGGTCCATTGAGGACCTGTTGCCTTTACGCAGTAAGTCTGCTACTCTGCTTCACACTCTTGCCCCTGATAATGTCAGTTAGCTATAAAACCCATTAGTTCTCTAAATTCTTTCATTGTTGCATAGATAACTTGAAGATTTTTCTTTGGTACTAAAAATATAAACGAATTGCCATGATGATTCTTCAGTTAATATCTTGCAACATGTCCATGACTTTATTCTCAGACCCAACTGGACATGAAGGTGTGGAAAAAACATAAAACCTAACCATGCAGCAGTAGCATGACCATTTTAGTTCGTAGTTCGTGATTATAGTTATCTTGTTACCAATTTGGACAATAGACGTTTAAACGCTGCGCACGTACATCACTATTAGTTATGGTACAACGAAATAACTTTGAAATATTCTGGGTATTCTGAATTTCTGTTTCACCACCAGTGTTCACGGCTGTCAGTATCAATGAAATTTCTTGTCTTTCTCTCTCGTTTCGTCAAAATGAAGATCATTTGATGTTCCCCCCATATACGGTTTTACAAGATGTTTTGTTCATTGAAAATTAAAGATTCAGTTACCTAATTGTTTACAAGTATCAACACTGCACTGCTTTCCAACGTGAGGAAATTCAGCCATGTTGTTGACAGTGTTTCAAGCTCCCTACGCACTCTCGGGTGTGTGGAGCTTACGACCAAATAAAACGAAATAAGATTCAATGTGTGTGTAATTGTGGTAACTTTTCGGAACACCCTTTAGGAATAATATTTACCACGTGATTGATGTGTTCAATAGAATCATCATGAACTTGAATTTCATATACACTAATGCTTAGTCTCTGAATATATACAAAGTATATATATTCAGGAGCAAAGGAGCCCCAGTGATTTTGGAAATTCAGAACATGAGTAAATCTAGACTTGCTTTATTTCGGGCTTCAGCATGACAGAAAGAGAAAATAATGCGGTTTAGGGACTTTGAGATACAGCACATTGCCGACAATTATTCATTTAGAAAATGACTTTTTGGGGTATAATGTATCTTGCTAGATGTTAATACCTCATTCTGCCATGAATTTGAAGAATACTCAATTCTGAAATGATCAAATTGTACACAAAGTATCTGTGTTCTGAACTTGAGGTACAGTCATACTGTAGCTTAGATACCTATTATATGATTTTTTCGCACGGAGCTTTTCACGTGTATAAAAAGGAGAAATGTCGTTCTTAGCTTCAAGCGAGTCGACATGGCCACACGAGTGAGTCAAATGTTGATTAATGTACGTGTGGCCCTAACAATACTGTTTGCGTGAGGTTTACTTATTATGTGTTTTCTGAAATAGATTGCATCATCTTTAATGATGTTGTAATATGAAAAGTTTAAAATTCTTATAGGTTATCGGCAGCAATTTTTATATGCATCGATGAGGATATCGATACATCGATGTTTTCATTTGCAAATGTTCTGTATGAAAGGCAAGATACTTTTTAAAAATCCTGTTTTGACCAGTCGGAGGCAAGCATTCTCACGCAGCTTGGTGGAATCCCAATTCACTGATGGGTACATACATATTGATTTGGGAGATAATTTCCTTCTCTTCCATACTTTTGAAGACTCTTCACCTTTTTTAGCAAATCTATAAATCAAAGTGATGAAGCTGCATATCTGAAACGTGTTTTTATTCCCATTTTTATACAGTTGAAATGAACACTTTGACTAGAATTACAGCCCTATGTGTGAAACACAATGCAATTCGGGTGTTATACGCAGTGTTTTAACGTAATTCAACTTTCACTTGATGATACGTGAGGATCTGGGGTACAACTGGTCTTCAGTAGCTCATGCACTTATGTCTCCCCACTTGAAGATCCGGGTTACAGATGGTCTTCAGCAAGTTATGCTTGTGTAAGTGATAAATATGTTTGCCGTAAGAGGCTATTGACGGGATCGGGTGGTAAGGTGAGCTAAATCGGTCATGTATGTCATGCCGCATCACAACTGACCAATGATCGTCGTGCTCTGGTCAGGACTTGATTATATCAGGGTCATCGTCACAGTTGTAATGTGTTTGAGTGCGTCGTAAAACAATATACTATCAGTATGTTCATATACTGTCAACATCTAATTACCGTAATTTAATAAAACCACGCATCATCTTAAATTATGGTTTAAAAGCGAGTAAACGATTGTGAGTTTTACATGAACGCCAACAAACATTAAAGTAAGTATACATTATAAAAGAACTTCAGTGGAATCAGGCATAATCTACTATTCTCCCTGGTGGAATGTTGCTGAGGTGGCGTTAACAACAAAAAACTTTATTCAAGAGTAATTATTTTATTCACAAAACAAGGCAGTCATTGAACGTGAAAGAACATTTACATTCTTGGTGCGTGTTTAATTTAGTGGTTAATATGTTTCAGCATTCTTTCCGTGGGGAACTCACTTGAGTACAGTTGTTTCATAACCATTGTCTTGGTGGATACATGTGGCAATACAGTTTTTAAATATGTTTTTGTACAGCTACGTATTCCCGTGTATAGAGTTTTTCAGTGTAACATATGTTATAAATGTTTTTCAGTGCAGTTATTAACTTTTGTTGTCCCAAAGCACCTGTTTTAAAATGACTAAGAATTAATCGGTAAAAAGTGTTTCTTATGTGATAATTGCATGTTAATGTTTTAGGTGCATACATGACACATCATTTTCTTGCACAGAGTTTAGGTTTGCTGTGTGTATTGATCTTAGATGCAAAATAAACTCGAAGAACATGTAATCAATTTCGTGTGGTAAATTTGCTCATTCTGCGAGGTTCGGGCAAATACAATCTAGGGGTTCAATTAAGGATTAGTGAAACGATACTGTTATTCACATTACTGTTTTGATCAATTATTCGGATCAAAGATATGTGAAGACGTATATCTAGTAACATTTAATAAGAATCGCTCATCGATGTATTGTTTCACATTCAATAAGTTGAGTTTTAAACAAACACACCTCTATAGTACCCCACTTACTTATATGGACGCACTCGCGTCACTGCAGAACATCCGGGCATTTTGGATGCATTTCAAATGTTAATACAATTGATGGACTTTTGACGAAACGAATATAATAACTTTTAGCTTAAAATCCTGAGTAAGTTTAGTTGTAATTGTATCATTTAAGTTTAAGAATGAATATAATGAAAGTTAATACAGTTGTAACACGGAAATAAGTAGTATGGTACCAACAGACAATGTTTTGGAATCTTTAAACATCTAATCGTGTGTCGTCGGATCCCACTTTTACATTAGGCCAGCTGTTCTCACAAATGGCGGCCGGGAAGGAGGCTACGCAATTTCTTTGAGAACGTTTCATCACTGGCACCTCACTCTGAACGGTTTTCCACCTGACATTCAGTAGATATTAATTAGAAAGGTCCAGTTGATCATATGCACCTAATTTGGGATGCAGTGTAATCGCCGTTTAGACGTGGAGAGTGACAAAAGTCAAAAGGTGTTTATGATGAGTTCTCTGGGGAGCTGCCTTCAATGCATAATAACATTTGCAACATTTTATCCCGTGTTCAAATATTCTGATTGCATACATTCTCCTGCATATACACAAACCCATATCTTGACAGACTGACACCAGAGTCATGAATGTTACAACCACGTTTTGCTGATTATAACAGATAAATTACAGTTTGAAATACAAGGAAGCCACTGATATATTACCTGAATAACGTCAAAGGATGTGTTCTTTCGTTTTCACCACATACATTTATTACAGGATTTCTATTTGAATGAACTATCATGGCTAATCCAATAATGTCTGTCCTGATTATTTTCATGTGAAATAATTTGATAATGCATATATTTGAAAGAAAGTTTTTAAACTGGAGATAATTTAAGTCAAGGCCATGAGAATAGGACCTCATACAAGTCTGTAGTTGATGTGTTGTAACAGTATTCTGTCTATAAATATACAAGTGAATATAAGCCACGATCTACAGTAGAAATGTCTTTCACGTGAATTAGTATGGTGAATTTGACATGAATCAAGATAATTCATTTGTTTAAGGGTAGTTTGTATTATTCATCTTGACAAAACATGCTTGATTTATAGTTGAATATATGTTTATGTTATTATAGACTTAACCATCAATCGATTCTGTTGGTAGGTACAAGCCATCGATTCTCACTCATACATCTGTACATGGTTAAACATTATGCAGATCATCAAAACCTGTATGCATTGTCTTAGAGGTAATAGCATACTGAAAAAAAGTTCTTAATGTTCAGAGAAATGAGCAACTCAATTAGTTCTCTGAAAACAAAGCACCAGTTGATTAAAGTTATTAATACTTCATTGTGAAATTCATAGCAGTGTCATAGATTTTATGTGCTGATGAAATATTTATCCTCATTTCAAGACTAACACTGTTCTAATTGTGTTTATGTATTTTAACTTCCAGGTCCCTTAATGCCTCCATAATTCCTAGTGTCCAGTCATCAAGTTTGTGGAACCATTATGGCATCCAGTGAAATAGCAGGCCAGGCTCTTCCAGCTCCTGTGATTGGCCATGGAGAGCCAAGTGAGGGGCAGGGGATTGAAGCAGCCGGTCCTCCAGAACTTGAAAGACAGAATTCACAGAATTCCTCTGGAGGTTTTTCATCACCTGGATCACCTGACCCTGTACATGATTTGCCCTTGGAGTTGTTGCAAGCTGGCTGGCGTAAATTCTGGAGCAAGCGGGAGAACCGTCCATATTACTTCAACAAACTTACAAACCAATCACTTTGGGAGATGCCTCCACTTCCGTCACAGGTAAGGTCATCAGACAACTGTCCTGGTATTTTGACAGTCTGAGAATGTATTGTAAATAATGGTTTTATACTAGAACTTATAATATCAACAGGCCTCTGCTGTTTTTGTTTGCGACAAGCAAAAGGACAAACTAAACTGACCTCTGATTGCACGTATCTTAGCTAAAGTCTTATGGTGTGATGTTGATAACGATGAATATTGTCTTTGTTCAACAGCAGTTACCGGATCTAAGTGACCCTCTTGGGATCAACAGCCCTGGAGGAGGAGGCCCTGCTCCAGCTCCTATCCCTGCCAACACCGACACCCGGATCAGTCGACCCAGCATAGAAATACCATCTGCCACAGTTGGAGAGAAGAGGAGGGCCAGTTCCGACTTCGGGATGGGAAGCCCAGCCAAGAGAGCAGCTTTTAACTATAGGTACACCCCTGTTACCATGGTCATAATGATGTCTTGTTGGCAATTATGAATGAAATCAAGGCCCTTAACATTATCTTGACATTAACAGAGAAACATTGACAAGTCTTATTCTGTTTTGATATGCTTTATTAGAAAACATCAAAGGTTGGTTAGTTGGTTATTTAATGCCACACTCAGCAATATTCCAGCTATATGGCGTCGGTCTGTAAATAATGGAATCTGGACCAAACAATCCAGTGATCAACAGCATGGGCATCTATCTACGCAATTGGGATACGATGACATGTGTCAACCAAGTCAGCGAGCCTGACCACCCGATCCCGTTAGTCACCTCTTGCGACAAGCATGGGTTACTGAAGACCAATTCTAACCCAGATCTTCACAGGTAAAAAACATCAAACAACTTATATATTTTTAAACTTATCCTATCTCACGGAATGCAATTCTCTCTCTTGATTCGACACTGAGTGGAACGATGTAAACTTTTTTCCCTTGGCCTCTCTTGCCCATCCGCCCAAGCAGTCCATGCTACCCTCATTATAAGACAGCTTCCTAGTTGTCATGCAAAGCATGCAGCTACCCACGTGACTATCTCTGAATCTCTTTCTTGTCGCACATGAGTGTGAACGTGTTTTGCTTTGCTCAACGTTTTCAACTTAGTCTACAAAATGGGGAAGTTGACCAGCCAAAAAAGAGGATGAAATGCTCCCGATGTAATAAAGTGTTCTCCGCGAGTGATCCACATGCGTATTGTGTTGACTGTGTGGGACAGTGTAAATGGGTCTCTCGTTGCGATAAATGCAAGGATCTTACCTTTGAGGCGTTTGGTGACTACACTTGGGCTTGCGCTGGTCGTGTTGCTGACAGTGCTCGTTATGCCGCTTCACTTGACGGACCCAGTCCCTCCAAGAAAGGAAAGTTTAAGCGCCCTACTTTGTCTGCTCAGCGGTCACAGTCCCCACCCTCGAATGAAGAGGATTTTATGAGAGCGTCATCAGCTTCTTACTTATCGGAAGACCTTCAGAATTTGTTGGGCTCTCAACATTCCAGCCTGAGCCCTTAGTCTTCGACCATGTCCCGGGTAGTGGTTGTCGAGACTGCTACCACCCCTCAGGATGCCTCTACACAGTGGGACCTTGGAACTACGCCCTCTGCCTCTCAATCTCCGGAACAGTTATCTCGGCCACCTGGCTTATCTGTTTCGGACAAGAATCGGCTGATCTCTACGCCTGACTGTGCAGAGCGCATGTGCAGAAGCCGTTCTCGCTCTCGTCGTTCGTCCAGTAGTGAGGGGAACCAGTCTACCTCGTCTCAACGCCTGTCAGTGGTTACTTCGCCGTCTCCTTCCCATTCGACAAAAAAGTAGTGTTGTTGCTTGCGTCCAGCTTGCTTCGCCGAAGCCTGCCAGATCGATTCACGGTTCGCCGGATCACGCTTCGCATGTCCGCTTCCCTCCACCTCGACTTTCGCCGGACTGTCCACCTTCCCCAGAATTAGACCGGCTCTCCATGAAACAGCTTTCACCAAAACAGCATTCCACGAATCAGCTTTCTACGAGCGCTTTTCGCCAGATTGTATATCTCTTGGTGATTCGCCGAACTCAGTTGGGTCTCCTAGTTTTTCTTATTCGTCGAGAAAATATGGTTCACCGAACCGTTTGGATCAACAGACTACCAATATTCGGATTTTCTTGCCGAAACGACCTGCTCGAACACTCGTTTTGCCCACATCTATAAGATCCGTTTTACGGCGAATCCACAGTGTTGTCTAGTACAACTTCCAACACGGAAGATTCCCAGCCTACTGGTTCATCAGAGATTACCCTACTTGTCAGGGATGTCTCCCGGACACTTACAACTCATTCACCTGGTCGAACTTAACAACGCCATCAACCTGCTTCGTCAGATCGTCCTGTTTTCCGGTCATGGTTTGCCGAACTTATCCATGTATCGTCAACGAACCGTTCCGGCAGGCTGGTTCGCCGTGACATCGCCTAACTGTTTTTTCAGCAAGGAATGGCTCATCTCGTTCGTGCGAACCACAACATCCCCGTACTAGTTTGGCAGACTGATCTGAACCTCATCATCGAACTAGTTCGTCAGGCCGAACCGATTCGCCGCACCAAAACCAGATCATAGTACCGTTCCAGATCTTACCTCGCCGATCCACACACATTATCACTTGGTTCACCGACCATCTACAGCTGTCCGGCGTAAAATCATACTCACTCACTCTCTCATCTACAACTATCTTGAGCGAGATACCAGATGATCTACTTACTACATTCAACTTGAAGGATCGGAACTTGTCACCATTGGTTTATTACATCTTCATCGAGGATCATCAACTTGCATCTAGATACGGCCAATTACCCCAGCTATTAATCAAACACTACCAGCTTTCAACACGATGTTACTATTCAGGGTATTTGTGATACGCTGAATTTCTCACCACGACGTGACATGCTATTAGCATGACAATCTGACTTGGTTCTCCGGATAACCCTCCGGCATGTGAGACGCTAGAAGTTTTTAGTCACATGACCTATCCCACCTGGTACCCTTTTTGAACTGGTTGAACGAAGGTAGTAGCTGTCAGTAGTGCACACATCTACATTACGCCGGCACTTGACAGCTTACCGAGGGTGTTAGACAGAAACATCCCAGAACGCTTCAACTTGAGTTATTCGGGTTTTCTACTTTAGCCCAAACCCTCCATTCAGAGGTCACTGCAGTCCCGAGGCACTTGTTTACTGCCTTCGTCTTCCCAACGAATGTTCCTGGGGTCGCCGGTCTTCTTTAACCTTCGTCATTCCAACAACTTTGCGAACTTTCCGGTAGATAGATTCACGATCCCCATGCATCTAGTCTACTATATTTATCACTCCATCCAGCGGACCAACACTTCATTTGGTGAACTAATGTTCCACATTAGCCGATCATACGACCTTCATCACCCGTTTACAATGTACACGTTCCTGTAGATTGACTGACAATCACTCTATCAGGAGATATCCCTTCATCAGTGGCAAGAGTTGCTGGGACTCCTCACCTCAGCTCAAGCCTTCACTTACAGAAGTCAACTTCATCCTCGAAAAGCTACGTTGATGATTGCATCCAGGCACAACAGGATCTGATAGTACATCGCTGCTAACTGTAGTTCACCACCATGCTGCTCTGGCAGTTAGGATGGCTAGTGTACATTGCTGTATTGAAGCTAACATCGATCCTGAGACTCCACTTCATCGATACATTGTTCGACACCTGTCAGAGGATGATGTTCGCCCTTCAAGACAGGTGCTTCATGACCCCGCAATGCATTCCTCCAGCGCGCTATCTCTGTGGCAGCTGCTAGGCTTTCTGACGTCAGCTCAAGCCCCAACTATCAGAGGGTAGCCTCAGCTTCAGCCGTGCTAGACGAGCAGAATGTTGTCCTTCGTGTCGACTCATCATTATTCCTCGACGCATCCCTCACGAGTCGGGGGGCTCACTTTCTTCATCATCAGGCGGCCGGGCTGTGGTCCTCCGCAGAACGGGACTTGCACATCAACGAACTCAAGTTCTTGGCGGTTCTTCTTGCCATTCGACGACGGAACTTTGGGGATCCTCCCCGCTGATTCAGACAGACAACTCCACGGTCGTCTGGTACATCAACCATCTCGGGTCGACAGGTTTGGTGAACCTTCTTCAGTTGGCGTTTCGGTTCTTCCATCTGATCGACTCCCTCGCCATCGATGCTCGAGCCAGACACATTCCCGGAGTCAGAAATGTCATCGCAGATGCGCTGTCCCGCTTCGATCGGCCGTCTCCCGCGTAGTGGCAATTGAACCCACCGATCTTTCTGGAACTGGTCTTCCCGTTATCAAGGCCCCAAGTCAACCTATTCGCCACACGGTTCAACCATCAGCTCCTGCAGTTTGTCTCGCCGATACCAGACCAACTAGCATGGGATCTCGACACTCGAGACGCTTACGCCTTTCCCCCTCCGGCTCTTCTACCCAGAGTCATCCAGAAACTCCGGGCGACCAGGCAGATTCTACTGCTTTTGGTCGAGCCTTACTGGCCAGTCAGGAGTTGGTTTGTCGATCTCGCACAGCTCGCAGACCTAAACCCAGTTCCTCTTCCCAATCGGGACGACCTACTGTTACACCCTCACTCGGATCGGCGTCATGTATCCCTTCGCACCCTGTCTCTGCACGTTTGGCGCATCTGCAGAAGTCCTTAATTGCCAAGGGGTATTCTCGGAGAGTGGCTATGGCCATCACTTCTGCTCATCGGACTTCCACCCGCTCACTTTTTGATGAGAAGTGGAAATGTTTTGAGAGATATTGCACGTCGTCCAGAGGCATTACATCTCCAGTTTCTACTTCGCCTCAAATCGTCACTGAGTTTCTTCAGCATTTGTGGTCGTCTAAGAAGCTCAAGGGTTTCACTTTGGCCACTTACCTTGCTGTGATCAACTCGGTCCTGGCTACCACCACAGGCTCTAAGGTCTCAATGGTTCCTGAGCTTCAGTATTTGCTCCGGTCCTTAAAGTTTGCCGATCGGTCTCCTGCATGGGATTTATCTGCGGTACCTGCGTCATTTGGCCTCGGCGGACCTCCTTCTTTGTGGCCTTGGCTATAGCTGCTCGGATTTCTGAACACCACGCTTTGGATGTTAACAGAGTCCAGTTCGAACGGAAGAAGTCTTCCTCGGTCTCCGTTGGGATTTTGTAGCGAAGAATCAGTTGCCGGGACAACCCGATCATACTTTTACCATCCCACCGTTGTCCACGATCCTAGAGCCGCATGACAATGAAGACCTGCAGCTTTGCCCTGTTAGGGCTTTGAAGATTTTTCTTGCTGCTTCTAAAGATCGCTGCCATCTCCGCAAGCGCCTCTTCATTCCGTTGTCCTCAACATTTAGGGCGGAAGTGTCTCGCACCACATTATCCTTCTGGATGAGAGCCACCATCCTACGGGCTTACACCTTCACTGGGTTATCGGCCCCGACAGCTTCCAATCCACACGAGACACGGGCGTTAGCGTCTACAATGGCTCTGCATAGTAACTGCTCTCTCCACACCATTATGGAAGGATGCTTCTGGAGATCTGACTCGGTTTCCTTCTCCCACTACCTTCGGGACCTCTCAGTCAAGGACGTCCACGGCCTGTACCAGTTTGGACCCCTTGTTCAACAGCTGTCTACGGCCCGCCAACGCAGATAGGGAACGGTCCCACCCCGTTGCTGCTTCCCTGTACTTTCCTGAATATAAGTCTGAACTTGATGTCTGCCTTATGTTTTGATTGCCTATGGGTTAGAACTACTTCACTTAGTTTTATACTAAGACACGGAGATACTACCGCCTCGGTGGTTGGACGAATCTGGAGCTCGATTCTGTATCATGATGTGGAAGGGTTCGACATTTCACGTTTCCTGACCTCTACTTTTCGAAGCAACTACGTCAGTGAAGTGTGTCACTCCCGAATTCCAGTGGATTTCGTTGCATTCCGACTCCAAAGTTGCCAGGCTCATCCTTTGACTAAGCTTATGTAAAGGAGTGAGGGTCAATTTAATGTTGACTGGAACTGAACATTAAAACTGCGAGTTTTCCGAGTTGTGCTTCTCTTTCACCTGCCCCTGGTCGGTGTCTGTGGGGGTCTTCTCAAAGCAGGGGCTGGCCCGATTATTGTCTATGACTTTAATTTACGGGGGTACCTTGAAAATCGTGGCGAAGTGACATCCTTTCTCGCTGAGCTGCATCCTTCTCCGGAGGTTTCAGCCGAACACCACATCGCTCAGGAGCACCCATCTCCCTGGGAGCCGTTGTACTTGGTAAGCCACGGAGTTCAGAGGAACTCGTCACAAGCATAGGAGTAGCCGTAACCGGCCTCCCTTGTGCATCACTATCTACGGTTGTTTCCAGTCTACACAGTTCTACTGTTCGCACTGATAAGACACAGGGTATCTGCGTCCCACCGTCCGACCGTGAGATAAGTGCATACCGTGAGATAGGATAAGTTTAAAAATTTGGAAATTTTAAATATAAATTGTATATTTACACTTATCCTATCTCACGCCCATCCTCCCCGCTACGCAGATTCTCCAAGATTGATATTCCAGTGGCTCCAAGAATGAGAATGATGATTCAGAGATAGTCACGTGGGTAGCTAGTGGTGCATGCCGCATGCTTTGCATGACAACTAGGAAGCTGTCTTATAATGAGGGTAGCATGGAGTGCTTGGGCGGATGGACAAGAGAGGCCTAGGAAAAAAGTTTACATCGTTTCACTCAGTGTTGAGTCAAGAGAGAGAAGTGCATACCGTGAGATAGGATAAGTATATAAATATACAATTTATATTTAAAATTTCCAAGTTTCAAAGGGGCGATGGGGTAGCCTTGTGGTTAAGGCGTTCTCTTGTCACGCCAAAGACCCGGGTTCGATTCCCCACATGGACACAATGTGTGAAGCTTATTTCTGGTGTTCCCCGCTGTGATATTGCTGGAATATTGCTAAACAGGGCATAAAACGAAACATTGTTGAATGGCATTTAGAAGTGATACGCATAAAGGTTAGAATTTATGGATGTCAACTTCTTTATTTGAGGAACACAATGTTTCAGAGTAAATTCTTACTCCATCAGGTGAATGATAAATGAGTAAGAATATACTCTGAAACCTCTTGTTCTCCAAAACCGCCTCCGTGGTGTAGTGGTTAGAGCGTCCGCCCGGAGAGCGGAAGGTCGCGGGGTCGATCTCCGAACGCGTTATACCAAAAGACGTTAAAATATGGTACTTGTTGGTCCCTGCCTGGCGCTCGGCATTAATGGGTACAACAAGGACTGGTCAGCTCGGAGTCAGTATAATGTGTCTGAGTGGGGTATTCATGCTTCACTGCGGCATGGTATCTCAGTGGGCTAGCACTATAAAACCAGCTTCAGTCTGGGCTAGTACAAGCAGCCGCACATACACATACACACGCATGCACGTCGTCATATGAGCGAAATATTCTCAAGCACGACGTTAAACCCAATTTCACTTCACCTTGTTCCCAAATAAGGAAGTTGACATCCGTAAATTTACTGGTTCCTGCATTTGTAATGTAAGAACTAGTGAGGAATGTTAATGAAAGTTTTTGCATTTTTCCAACAGTGGGTGAAAACTATTTGAATTTTGTGTTTACATCCTTTGTTTATGTTGGATGTACAGCTCCTGTTGTCATTGAAGTGTGACAGAGATTGCAATACTGTCACGTCTGTGCACATAGTGTTATTTTGTCACTGTTGCAGTTGTGGTAGCATATCTATAAAACTATGTAGAGCACACAAAAAGGCAAATACGCCCAGGGGCGGTCAGGTATTTGAGGGTGATGCTTCAGAGTGGTTGATGCTCCGTTCCTTTACCTGTGTCGTAGAACTGGAAAGCCGTCAACAAAATCCAGCTCAGATGTATTCTAAGCATGCTATTTATTTCAGTCCATTTTGGAACTTTGATGTCCCAACCAATGTCATCTTTCATGAACGCCCTCCATCAGTCTCTCCACCCCCATTGCCTGAGATAGAGATCCTCCGACATTCGAATGTTGTCAAGTTGCGGCGAGTCTACCAGGAGCTGTGTCAGAGCAGAGAAGGTAATATTCCACAGTCAGAGTAATATTCCTTAAGTAGCTTAATATTCCATGGAGTAATCATCCCCTTATGCACTCTATGCTGCCATTATAAAGCTGGAATATTGCTGAATGGGAAGTCAACGGTGAATACATGTGCTCACACATAGGCACATGCACATTTGCACATTTATATGTTTACGTTTTGCACTGTTCAGTTCTCGTTTGTATATTCTTTCAGGTATTGATGCACCAGTTGAATCCTTCAACCGCTGGTTACTTGAAAGAAAAGTCGTTGACACAGGAATTGATGCGATGTTGCCGTCCAAATGTACGCCTGAGATCTCCCAATCGATGTACCGAGAGATCATGAATGATATTCCTGTGAAGTTGTTCAAACCGAAGTATACAGGAGATGCTCGCAAGCAGTTGTTCAAGTATGCTGAGGCTGCCAAGAAGATGATAGAATCAAGGTATGCACAGATTTAGAATAATCCACATACAGTGAACTACGGTCATGACAGCTTAAAGGGAGCACAAACTTTTGTTCTTTTAAATGTGTCCTGTCATGTGGTGTTATCAGCAGCAAGCCAGAGTTGTTTCCCTTTATGAGGTTGGACTATTCTTCAATCCTGTTTATGACTTGGTCATGGCTTAGCTTGGTTTGAAACAGTCAGGATTCAGGATTCTTGAATTTAAGTTCATAATGGCACAGTTTAAATAAGTTAAATGAATGTTTAATCATGAAGTTTCAGGCAAGTGGCCCCTTAAATTCAGATTAAGTCTATTTAATGCTCAGCCAGACTGTTTTGCATACCAATTAAAAATCAAACTATTCCAGTGCAGAAAATTTAAATGTGTTAAATGGTAACTGTGGGCTCAAACACTATCATGACATAACTCCTATTGCTAGCTAGACCTGTAATCGGAACAATTTTAACATTCCTGCCACAACAATGGCAAAATAAAATTGAGAATTGGAATTTTTTCTCATCTAACCATGAAGAGGTATGTGCTGTATAACAACGTCTTCATGAAATATTGTCCATGCATTTAGAAGTTGGGTATAATCAGAACAAGGTATATCATTGATGACAAACAAAAGTTTATTTTAAAAAGTGTGTAAACCATTTACAGGGGTGGAAATAACTTTATAATTGCTAGTGTACTCCGGTACAGTAGCACATGTAAAATCACTTGCCCTGATAATTTTTCCACTATACCAGCTGTTTTCTTGTTGATTTTTGACATAAAGAAAATAATTAACATTGGAAAGTCAACTGGACACCGGTACAGTGTGATATACAAATTTGCTTGTCCGACAGAAAAAAACACTGGACTCGGGCGTTGGGCAATGGGTTATTTCCACCCCTGATTTAATTAAGAAAGGAAGAAATCATTTGTCTGTGCCAGGTAATCCACAGTGCCTTTGTGTGTATTCCAGAGGCGCCATATCGGAAAGCCGGAAGATCGTCAAGTGGAATGTGGAGGACACATTCTCTTGGTTGAGGAAACAACAGAATGCTTCGTATGAAGATTTGCTGGTGAGAAAGTCTTCTGGTCCCCAGCGAAATTAAAAATTACATTATTATTATTAACTCTTTTAGCTCTCGTTGCTCAATGTTAAGCTAGCAAAACCTGTATCACTTGAAGCCTTGTTCTGTTTGTGTTAAGCAGATAAGACCTACTATGAGTGAGTGTTAGAATGGCTAGGTCAGTTGATGATTGTATGCAATTGGTGCAGGAACGCCTGGCCCACCTGAAGCGACAGTGTCAGCCTCATCTGACAGAAGCAGCCAAGTGTTCCGTCGAGGGTATCTGCAGCAAGGTCTACAACATGTCCTTTGATTTCGTCAAGAAGCTGCATGAAAAGCACTGGGAAGTCCTGAAGGAGCATAATATACAAGGTATGAAGTTCCTCCTGAACCCGTGAACATCCGGGGTAGAATTCAGCAGCCCATGCTAGTCCTAGGAGGCGAGTAATGGGATCGGGTGGTCAGACTAGCTGACTTGGTTGACACATGTCATCATATCCCAGTTGCAAGGTCGATGCTCATGCTGTTGATCACTGGATTGTTTGGTCCAGATTCGATTGTTTTAGCTTACATTACATACTTATGCTTATACCTACCTGTTAAGCTACCTACCATAAGTCGAGTGGAAACGGGGTCTAAACACAAAACAACCCCACCTGTGCAATTACCTCCCCTTCCCTGTCACCAATCATTCCTGCGCTCCGTACCTGTAGGACGTGTGAAATAGAGCTCTGTCTTTTTTCCTTTGTTGGAAGTCTTGTTAGATTTGTGTAGTAAAATTTTACTTACCTTTTGTCTTGGTGTAAACATCTTGGTTGCTTCGGTGACTTTTTTCCGTGAATTTGAACAGTTTGAACACTTTTGTTTTGCACAATATTTTGGGAACACGTGTGGTTGGACTGAAGCATGGCTTCGTCTTGTTCCCAATGTCAATGGAAACTTTCTAAGGCTGACCCCCACAGTAGTTGTCAGTCTTGCCTTGCGAAGGACGGCTATGTTCCATGTTCCGTTGACTTGAAGTGCATTTTGTGTGATAAACTGTCCGAGGAGGAATTCACTGCATATTTGAAAGCTATTGCTAAGCGGGAGGCTGATCGGCGTTATAAGAAGAAGCATGCTTCATCTCGGGATCACACGGCGGAACCTGTCGCCGTCAACGATTTATCGTCCAGAGATAACAGTTTGACTGAGCCGTCTCCCGCTGTCATTTCGCCATCTTGTGTCGATCCGGGTACATCGTCTGTTAACCAACCAGAATCGGGGTAAAAAAGTGGGTTGTTGACTACCGACTCAAGCGATTGCGACTCAATTGCGACTCGTCCCTCTCCCACTGAATGGATGCTCAATCCCATCACTTTTCAGCTTTTGATGGCATCTTTCTGGACTCCACAGGTGGATCTGTTTGCGACACGGCACAACAATCGTCTTCCTCGCTTTGTGTCTCCTGTCACGGATCGGCTGGCTTGGGACCACAATGCCCTGGCGATATCGTGGGAAGGTCTCGACGCTTACGCGTTCCCTCCCACCGTTCTGTTACCTTTGATCTTGGAGAAGATTCAACAGACCAATCGCTTTTGGTTGTGCCTTATTGGCCGGCCAGGACGTGGTTCCTGGAGTTGTTACGTGTCGTAAATTGGCCTCCACTCGCTCTTCCATTCTGGGAGGATCTTCTGTGGCATCCACACAGCAACGCCCTGCAAGTGGGGTTGCACAACTTCCAGCTTTACGTGTGGGATTGCTCAAAGCTTCCTTGATCAAGAAGGGTTAATCGGCTCGGGGTGCCGCGCTTATTTCCTCAGCTCATGGTGTCACGACTCATAAACTATATGATGATAAGTGGGTTTCCTTCTCCACTTTTGCCAAGAAACAGGGGTTTGTTCTGTCTTCTGCTACGCCTCCACAGGTGGCCGATTTCTTAGTTCACCTTCGGTCCTCACGGCGTCTCAAGGGTTGGACCATCTCGACATATTTGGCTGCCATCAGTTCAGTTGTCTCGTCCGATTCGGGTGACAAGCTTGCGAAAGTTCCTACCCTTCAAAATTTATCAAGTTTGTAAATTCCGTCCTCCTGCTTGGGATCCTTACATCGTTCTGCGTGATCTTACTAGCGACTCCTATGAACCTCTGGATACGGTCTCTTTTGACCTTCTGACTCAAAAGACAGCGTTTCTCCTTTCTTTGGCTACGGCGGCTAGAGTGTCTGAGGTTCATGCTATTGATTATGGTCGAGTATAGTTTGACCAACGTGTCCATGGCGATGTCCATCTTGGTCTATGGTGGGAATTTCTCGCCAAAAATCCGCTTCCTGGCAAAGAGGCTCGAATGTTTCACATTCCTCCACTTTCCGCCGTCCTGGGTTCTCAGAACCATGCTGACTTGTCCCTTTGTCTAGTGTGTGCTTTACGCATTTACCTTCAACATTCTGAATCAAGTCGAAAGAATTTTCTCCGTTTATTCGTTCCGTTGTCTCCAACCTCCAAGTCAGAGATCACCAGAAATACTCTTTCTTACTGGTTACGGGCTGTGATTCTCCGGGCATATGCTGCGCAGAATATGGATCCGCCGTCTTCTTCCTTGCATCAACATTGACTCTCCATGGTAACTGTTCCCTCCAGGCTATTATGGAAGGCTGTTTTTGGAAATCCACTTCAGTTTTCGCCTCTCATTTTTTGCAGGATATCTCGACGGCAGATGTTGCAGGCATCCAGCAATTCGGGCCCCTAGTTGTCGCGCAACAACTTCCTCCGCCAGTCGTCAGTTACTCTTGCCTTCGGTATCTCGACTTCGTGTACTTACTGCAGTAAACTGTTGGTGAACGTGATTCACTCTTGTTCTTTATTGCCTGACAGTCTTACGATCCCTTGGTTTCCTTTACCGCTTGTTGTGGTTTAGTTCCCTTGGTTATTGCTCACGTTGGACGTTGTTACCTGAGCTGTGACTCATGCTAGATCTTCCTCGTTCTTAGTGAAGTTCTGTCATTGATATTTGCATCCTCCATTATTCCTCGCTTTTCTACTTGGTTGCATACAGAGCCAGTTGGTTATGCTCTTATGGATTGTTGCGATTGTGTAGTTATTGTACTTTCTTTATGTTTTGGGTACAAACAACCCTCCTTGTGAAGTCTGTCAATACTACGTGTCACCAGGGTTTGTGTTGGCTTCAAATAGGCAATTACTAGTATATGGTAGGCCTTGTCCCCCACCGCCTGCCGACGGATAAAGCATAAGTACGGCTGAATGTAAGCTAAAACATGGATTTTTAGATTAAAAACATTTTTTTAAGAAGCTGACATTCAGACGTACAGTTTAGTCCCACCCATCCACCCCTCTGGACTTTGGCCTGTTTGTCGCTCTTATTCGGCTTTCTGGCCTTAGGCTCCGGAAAGATTGGTGACAGGGAAGGGGAGGTAATTGCACAGATGGGGTTGTTTTGTGTTTACACCTCGTTTCCACTTGACTTATGGTAGGTAGCTTAACAGGTATGTATAAGCATAAGTGCGTCTGATTGTAAGCTTGTTTAAACAATGTTTTTAATCTTAAAAACCCATATTTACAGACCGCCACCATATAGCTTGAATATTTCTGAGTGTGGCGTTATACAACAAACAAGCCAACTCTATGGAAAGTGATCTGCTGGTCAGTTGTTGGTGAGAACTAAGCCTCCCAATGACTTCCTACCATACATACTAGGAGTTTCTTGAGGAATGTTCCTTCAATACTTGTGGCATGTAAAAAGAATGAATTGGACATATTTATGATGGTCATTTTTGTGTATGTTTGAAAAGAGGCATTTCATTCCATCAACAGCAGGCCTACCAAAGAATTTTTTCCCACTGTGCAGAAAAACGCAGAAAAGCCCACATTAATCGTGGCAATAGCAGCATAAACATATTACCTTGCTACTGAAACAGCAAAAACATCAACGAAAGACTATGAAACTGCAACATTTTTTTATCAGTGAACTTTGCCCTCTACTGCCCATGGCGCATTATGATCCGCCCTTCTTTAGTTTCCGAGCAACCGTGACTCGCCTCTCGTAGAAAAGGTATTCAATATGTCGAAATAATTGCTGTCAATCATTTCATACGAATGGAAAGTAAACTAAACAAGTGTGCACACAAGTATCATGATGATAAATGCCAAATAACGCAACAGAAATACTTTAAAAAAGGTATGCAACTTTTGTCCACGCTGGAAAATGTCAACATGCGGTCGAGACTTCCTCTTCCATGTTCGCATGCGCAAAATCGAAAGTTGCAGGCTCTTCGTTTTTTTTATCCAGTTTTAGTGATTTAAAGTTGCCGTTTTTACTGTTTCAGTAACGAGGTATTATGTTTATGTTGCTATTTACACGATTAATGTGGGCTTTTCTGCGTTTTTCTGCACAGTGGGAAGGTTTTCTTTGGTAGGACTGAATAGTTTCTGTAAAATTACTTAAATATTGGTGCTTTTCTTATAGACAGTCAGGTCACTGGTGCAGTACTAAAGCCTGAACCAGGGGATGTTTTGTATTTGCTGTAGTCAAGGGGCAACATTATCGTAAATACTGGCCACTTGCAAGCATACTAAGTCGGCAAGGACTCAATTAGTCTTTCTTGCTTTTCAGAAAAAGATCCTTTCCCAGAGCTGCCTGTTCCACGGAAAGTCCCCTGCTATTCTGTGCAAATGGCAATTCCGTCACCACGGATACAGCCGATTGAACATCAAACTGAAAATGAGATGACATTTATCCGATATAAAGGAGAAACTATAAATTTGAACAGCTCACATTTTCACAAACTGGTAGGTGTATGTCTATATGGTGTTCCAGGGTGAGACACACGGAAAATCCCAGTGTACAGGATAGTTCAAACAGTTGTGGGACACTGAAGTAGTCTATGGCCCTTGTTCCCATCAGTTTGGATATTTTAAACAACATTCAAGGGACATGCCACCAGCAAGATATGAATCTCACTGAGCCTTTAATGGCCCCTTGGTACTCGTACATAAACAAACATTCAACATTTTAGTGCAAAACGTATTTACTTAAAGCATCAATTCATCATTTATTGAAAATCATATAACAGTTGCCACAAATCGCAAATTTGATTAAGTTTCAGTGAAGTTGTAATCCAGAGCTACAGATAACCTTTTTGACCATTGGGTTATGTACTCATCTATGTGTTCATCTCAATTGGGTATCCTAATTTTCCATTGAGTAACCAAATATATTGTACTCACCTCACTGAAACTTAATTTCTATTAATTTTGAGAACATAATAAAGTTTAAATGTTAGTGTTTGTTATTTATATTTGATCTGTAATATGAGAAACGATAAGAAAGACTGCAAGTTGCCAAGTTCATGTCCTGAAATAGAACCTCTTAATATACTGCAGTTATTTATCTATCCACCTGTAAACAAGCTAAGATTTGACATTTTTGTGTGTACGCGTGTCAGATCACATTTATTGAGTATTTACAAAAATTAAAGCGTGCCTGTACTTAATAGGAATTGAGTTTTCACATAAATATTTGCGTAATTTAAGCAGATACGCAGCTTATCTGTACCTCTGTAATCATTTGTCAGTTTTCACAGTAATGTTGAGTCATTACATTAAAACAACATTCAAATCAAAGCGTCAATTGAAAGCGTAGTTGGCAGGGAAGTCAATGTAATTTTGTGAGAGCTTGAAATTAATGTTGCACTGGCAATATTTCAGTTTCAAGATTACAGTACTGGATATATCCATTTGTAGTTACTTTTGATTGAAAGAACTGAATTGTACACATATTCTGATACTTGTTCATAGAATCCATTCAGTTTATTTGACATTGTGATCAATTATTGTTTGTCTAATTTGTTCCCAGGAACAGCTGTACAAGCTGAACTGCCGGGATGATGTGCGCTTTGATAACTTCTTGGGCCGTGTTTGGTGTTTGTTAAAGAGATACCAGGTATGTAAGTGCTAGCTCAAGTAGTACACTATGAACCGTTTTATAACGTAAAACAGTAAATAACAAACAATGGTGTTTAGATGGTTTTGTGTGATCAGGGAGTTATTTGTCCAAAATGAAGTGTTAGTGGTCTTCAAGTTACTTCAAATGCAGCATTTGTGTTTTGTAAGTATTATAATTGTTTGCTGATAGACTTTTACATGTTGAAACTCAAGGAACTGAGTCTAATGCCTCAAGTCTGAGGTATCAAACTGCCAATAGGAACTGAGACACTGATCAACTTGTTGACATGACTTAGATGATGAATGTCATGACATTGGTGATGTATGTAGTTAACATGATTTTGGTGATGAATGTTGGTAACATGTCTTTGGTGGTAAATATCGGTAACCAGACATTGGTGATGAATGTCGGTAACATGACTTTGGTGATGAATGTGGGTCACATGACTTTGGTGATGAATGTCAGTAACATGACTTTGGTGATGAATGTCAGTAACATGACTTTGGTGATGAATGTCAGGAACTTGACTTTGGTGATGAATGTGGGTCACATGACTTTGGTGATGAATGTCGGTAACATGACTTTGGTGATGAATGTCGGTAACCTTACTTTGGTGATGAATGTGGGTCACATGACTTTGGTGATGAATGTTGGTAACATGACTTTGGTGATGAATGTCGGTAACCTTACTTTGGTGATGAATGTGGGTCACATGACTTTGGTGATGAATGTTGGTAACATGACTTTGGTGATGAATGTGGGTCACATGACTTTGGTGATGAATGTCGGTAACATGACTTTGGTGATGAATGTCGGTAACCTTACTTTGGTGATGAATGTGGGTCACATGACTTTGGTGATGAATGTCGGTAACATGACTTTGGTGATGAATGTCGGTAACCTTACTTTGGTGATGAATGTGGGTCACATGACTTTGGTGATGAATGTTGGTAACATGACTTTGGTGATGAATGTGAGTCACATGACTTTGGTGATGAATGTCGGTAACCTGACTTTGGTGATGAATGTGGGTCACATGACTTTGGTGATGAATGTCGGTAACCTGACTTTGGTGATGAATGTGGGTCACATGACTTTGGTGATGAATGTCGGTAACATGACTTTGGTGATGAATGTCGGTAACCTGACTTTGGTGATGAATGTGGGTCACATGACTTTGGTGATGAATGTCAGGAACTTGACTTTGGTGATGAATGTGGGTCACATGACTTTGGTGATGAATGTCGGTAACATGACTTTGGTGATGAATGTCGGTAACCTGACTTTGGTGATGAATGTCGGTCACATGACTTTGGTGATGAATGTCGGTAACCTGACTTTGGTGATGAATGTGGGTCACATGACTATGGTGATGAATGTCGGTAACCTGACTTTGGTGATGAATGTGGGTCACATGACTTTGGTGATGAATGTCAGGAACTTGACTTTGGTGATGAATGTGGGTCACATGACTTTGGTGATGAATGTCGGTAACATGACTTTGGTGATGAATGTCGGTAACCTGACTTTGGTGATGAATGTGGGTCACATGACTTTGGTGATGAATGTCAGGAACTTGACTTTGGTGATGAATGTGGGTCACATGACTTTGGTGATGAATGTCGGTAACATGACTTTGGTGATGAATGACTGCTTCTCAGATGCTACCTTTTTACTCTGTGATCAGTTTTGTTGATGATTGCTTTATTTGAGAATAGTTGTTTGAAGTGATCACCAGAGAAAACATCCCTGTGCAGTAATGTTTTGTGTACCCTTCTTTGATATGTCCTAACTACTTATTCCTTCACTTTCAGACATGTTTCGGCCTACATTCTCAAGAGGGTGCATGTCTCCAGGGAGCGTTGCCAGTGTCTGTGTTTGAATGTTTGCATCGGGTGTTCGGGGTCACATTTGAATGTTTCGCCTCACCTTTGAACTGTTATTTCCGCCAGTATTGCTCAGCGTTTTACGATACAGATGGCTATTTTGGCTCAAGAGGGTAAGACATATATTTCATTGCAGTTGTCTTTAAAAAGGTGGCTCTTGAGAAGTCTAGAACCTTGTGATGTCTTACTTGTTTGTCAGTTGAATGTGTAGTTGGATATTGATGTAGAGAGCCTGGAGAAGGTTGTTAAAAGATGGTACTATTTGTTACCCTGCCTGGTGCTTGACATTCAGTGGAGAAAACCTGGACTGGTCAACTTGCACTGCACTATATAAGGCTAATAATCCTGTTTCTCCTCCGCTCATACCCTGGTGTTTTTTCAGATTATAGTTCATGTCTTTAGCTACTTATTTGTTGGTGTAGTGAGTTTACAGCTGCTGCTGATGCTATTAACGTCCTAAACATCATACATACTTGTTTCCATTAGGGTTTATGTACTATCATAGAACAATTAGTCTGGAAGGAATCAGCGTGTGGGGATTCACAGAGTTGATCCACTGCATCCTATGTTCGTTGTAATCAGTTATGGTCAATTTCCGTCGATTTTATTGCAAATTGATCCATTCAGTGAATCGTCTGAATCAATATTGAGTTTTCAGCTGAAAATAGATTTCCTGTTGCCATCCATATGTAATAGGCGACTGAAAGCTCTGTATAATCTTGCTCAGCGACTTCATTGAAGGCAGTGTGGATATTTTCACTTCAATAACTTCAAGTACATGTTCCTGGGCGAGATCTGATACTTGCAATTTTCATATAGCAGGAATAGTGAAGAATGTGTGTCTTACACAAAAAAACAAACATGCCATATTTCAATTTCTGTTCTTTTCAATTGTTTTTAGCCCAGTGTTGAATTTTTACCCACTAAGCGGTTCTTTTGAGGCGAATCCACCGTTTAGTGAAGAGCTGATGGAAGCCATGGTCGATCATTTTGAGGTTAGTGAAGGTCCGGTCACCATATTGTGTACACAATGATGAGCTGGATAAATGCTTTACTCAGATCAACATACCTTTGCGAGCACTGAATATTGTGACATCTTCATCATACCTTTTTGAATTGCTGTGGTAAGTTTATTTGGTGACCTGCTCCTAACAACCTCCAACCCTCTCAAGTCAGTTGAGTGAAGATCAAAGTTGGCTGGTCTTCAGCATTATACAACATACTTGTAAGGATCAGGTGGTGAGGCTTGCTGACATGGTTAATGCACATCACTTAATCCCAGTACTGTAGATTGATGGTCACTATGGCAGTCACTGGATTGTGTAGTCATATGAGCGAAATATTCTCAAGTACGACGTAAAACCCAATTTCACCTCACCTCACCTTAGTCATCCAGAGAGTAAGTTGAAATTTGCACAAGGAGTATGAGCACAATGTTATAGCAAGGTGGTTGCTGAGTCAGTCACTTGCCATGAGTCTGGTCTTAGTTCATGAATAATTAGAATTAATTAATATTTCCTGTTTCTCTTCAGAATCTCCTGGTGGAATCTCATGAGCCTCTGTCTTTCATTGTGTTCATCCCTGAGTGGAGAGACCCACCCACAGAGGCCCTGATGAGGCTGGAGTCCAGCAGGTAAACATGTCTGTGTAGTGATGCCTTGTTGGTTTGGACTTCCGGACTGTGGAAGTCTTGTTGTTAAGGACCGTGTGATTCTGGAATCCCTAAGTCCAGAGATGTTGTTATTCACACATTGTGTATCTGGACCCTGTAAGCCTGGAAATAGAAATTTTAAAAAATTTGAGTTTCAAATGAAATTTTCTTGTATTTTACAAGTTGCCTGTCATGGACATTTGGTTTTCAGTCCTAGATATATCCGATGTATGTTCTTCTTCCCATGTAGATGTGATGAAAGTGCTGTGACACATTCCTTTTGTTGTGTCAGACCTATACTAAAGACCCTTACTGTTAGTTGTCAATTTCTTGAATCATTGGGTCCGGGTTAGAATTGGTCTTCAGTAACCCATGTTTGTTGTGAGAAGCGACTAACTGGATCGAGTGGTCAGGCTCGCTGACTTGCTTAACACATCCAAATTGTGTAGTTGATGCTCATGTTATTGATCACCGGATTGTCTTGTCCAGACCCGACTATTTACAGACTGCTGCCATATAGCTGGAATATTGCTGAGTACAGCATAAAACTAAACTCACGATGTCACGATGAATCATGATGTCCGTCTTGACTTATACCTTTCTGAGTAGGGTTTCCGACTGTTTCATTGGTGTTACACGAGCAAACAAGCATTGTACCTGCAACACATGTGTTGTTACTTTACAGGTTCAAGAGGCGTCAGATCACATTTCCTGCATTTGAGCATCAGTACAGAGATGGATTTCAGCATGTTTGTCCAAAGTAAGAAATTTTTCAATAATAGTTCTCAATATGAAATGCAGTGTTGAACAAGCCTTGAGATCCAGCACTTATTTTTACAAGAATGAACTCTAAAACTGGATGCAATTGCAGAAGCTTACACCTTATCTAAAACAACAGTCAGTGTTTGAAATTAATGTTTGTCATGGTATCCTTGATTTATGCTAAATAGTAATTGAATCTAGGCCCACTAAATGTTTTTAGCCATTAATATTATTAAGATTGATTTGCCTTACTGATTGTGAACTGTTATAGATATCTATTTTTAACAATATTTTCTGTTTTTGCAGGCAAGATATGAACTACAAATCAGCCCATGGCACGCTAGTAATTTTCTTGCAAAACGAGGCTGGGTTTGCCAAGTGGGGTCCAACACCCGGAGAGAATCAAGGAGCTGATGTTGTCTTCAAAACCAAGGGACACTGCGTGATCTGTGGACACTGTGTGATCTGTGGACACTTGTCAGTGCCAGTGTGTTAACATGACCAGTAATGACACATAGGTGGAGATATAGAAGATTCAGAGTAAAGACATTCAGAGTACTCCATATTGTGTAGACCTGCGAACACTTCACGCAGAAAGATGCTTCAGTGTACCCTACTCTGTGTTGCTGCAGGTGTATATATATTACACTGTGAAGAGGGTTATCTTGGCTTTGCCTGGAATCCTGGAATTATTTTAAATTGATTTGTAATTTCATCTGCTCATCAAGTTATTGTAAATATCAAGGATGTTGCCTGTATGTTCATTAATCATCACTTTTGAAACTATCATCCAGAATCAACCACAAGCATTTGTTAATGTTCACTTGTTTTTTGGACTACACTGTACTTGTTAGGAAGCATTTTAATTGTTACGGCTTTTGTGTTTAAAAGAGGAGATATATATATTTTATGTTCATCTTGATGTAGATTCCTATGTGCTGGGTCGTCCTGTGTCATGATCTGATTTTAATGATATGAATATTTTTGTGGTCAAAGTGCAATATTGCTGTTTAGATGTGTAGCATTCATCCATTTGTGTTATAGTATCAAACAAACATACATGATTTAATGACTTAGAATATCAAGATAGGAGCAGTCATTTCCATGTTAATTTGTTCATAATATTTTTAAAAGAAAATATATTTGGAGGTATAAATAAACATTTAATTTTAATGTTATTTTTACATTACATTAAAGTACTCGCATATTGAAAATGTGCGATAGGGATACATTATGCATTTTATTTCTTGACTACATACATATCCTACAGTGTCACATATTACATTCAGCATACATAAAAATCTTTTTTCTTGTTATGGATTTTTGAAAAATATGGTACAAATACAACCATAAGCTCCTTGAATTGGTCTGGCTGTGAAGGGACTTACAGTTTGTGACGAAGGATTTCAGCTACATGTACTTGTGCACTTAACCCAACATGAGTGGAGTAGGGGCACTTAAACACTACACTGTAGCTGCTTGCTGGTCCTTGCATAGACTGCAGATGGTACTTCCATGTATCACTGAAACAACATCTTGCCTAGCATAGGGTAGCAGAGTGGTGAGGTAGCCTAGAGGTGGGGTAGCCTACAGGTGGGGTAGCCTAGAGGTGGGGTAGCCTAGTGGTTAATGTGTTAGCTTGTTTGAATCCCCACAGGTGTGAAGCCCATCGCTGGTGTCAACTGCACTGATAGTTCTGAAAGCATCATAAAACACTCTCTCATTCGCTTGCTCAACTCTCTTGCCAAAGAAAGTGAGAACCACACAGGTCCAGTTAGATCTTCACAAGGTTCTGTGTTTTTCATGCATTTAGTGGTGTGTATACATATTTGTTTGGGTCTTTCAAACACATTTGATTCTTAGGTTGATATATGCCACTCTGTGTGAGAGGGAAGTGCAGATTAGGTTATTCCGGGTTAAATATACCGGGTACGCCTAATGAGAATCATTGAGAGATTAAAATTGTTTAGAATAAGCTTGAAAGTCCTGTTTCCAGTTTTGTTGCCCTTGATGGTAAGAGTTAAGTATTTAGTGTGCCTAAATTCATGTACATAGGAGCCAACTAATATGGCGCCAGAAATCCTGTGGTTTATTAATAGTGATCTTTGGCATGACAGAGGGTTCATGAAAGAGCATGCTGCCTTTGTCATCACAACTGTGCAGAGTTGCGTCCCTTTGGTGACAGGATACAGTGTAAATGGGATCAAATATAACATGATCCTGGTAGTGTCATATCCGTGCCTATGCTCGTGGGTCACAAACTAATCTAGTAGTCTGATTTGCATCAGGCTCTTTTAAAATCTAAATAATTCAATAGCATATTTCATTACCAATTGCAATAAAAGTACACAGGTACTCTGATGAAAGTCATGTTGTAGTAGTCTGATTTTGCATCCAGCCCACTCACTCATCCAGCCCACTCACTCACTCACTCACTCACTCACTCACTCACTCACTCACTCACTCACTCACTCACTCACTCACTCACTCTCTCTCACACTCATGCACTCGTTCACCCACTCCCTCACCCACTCCGATTGATCAGTATCAGTGGTAGCCTGCACACACAGTGTATATATGGTGGACCCTCCTGTATTTATGTTACAATTTGAAGCTGATTTCTCTGGTGTACAGACTGGGATCTCTTGCAGCTATACATATAATGGAATGTTATTTATTTAGTCAGTACAACCCCTCTTGTACATAGCATGGGTAGCAGATAGTAGTGTGTTCTAGTAGGTAGATATGTGGATATTTATAAATATTGCACACCAAGTACTTTATGTTAATACTACAGTAGTGCTGTCCACACAATGTACACGGTCATGTAGCAGTCTTGGTCGACCACGTCAGTGGCTGCTGTAGGCACAGACATTCACCGTGAAGGCTAGATAGCTAAAGGCAGTGTTTATGTAGTTATGTCAGTAAAACACAATAACAGGTGTTCCACAGACACAGGACAAACCTCAGTGTTTTGGTAAATCTAGATAGTTTGGTTATTTTAGATATTTTGGTTATTTTTGTGTTGATCATTGTCAATCATGAAGTTTCCTAGGTCTGCTTGAGATTCCCATATGTGAAATATTCTGTATGTAAGATTTACATGACTATTGTGGACTGCAAAGATTTTGAGGATTCTTATTGTTTCTTTAGTATTCCAACACCTTATAGGTAGCCATATTTCTTTTCATAGCAATGTAATTCTTACAGTCAGTTTTACCTGATTCCAGTAGCTGAGAAAAATCCTGAGTTTATTATAACAGTATATAAAAAGAGTCAAAATTTCCATATGTATATATTAGTTGTAATGAAAGAAAAATATGTTATAGGCTTTAGATGTTCTATTTCCTGAATGTTCGATATTGACAGAGGAAGTATATTTGAAGTACTTTCATGGAGTTCTCTTTGATGTTTTCTTTTACATATTTCATTGTCCAGTATGCCAAGAAGAGACAGGATGAAAGGGAAGACAGATCAGTTTTTAGGAAGCAAATTAGTTTTATTTTAAGAGAGAGTTCAAAAGATTTGTTGACATACTATTACCATAGCAGAGTTCATGCTTGAGAATAGACTAACATGTCTTATGTTAATCATGATGAGATGGTCTGGCAAACCTAACCCAGATATATAGACAGACATTAGGCTTCATCAGTTTCCAATAAAATCTCTGGAAAAAATTAGTAATATTTTTGTGTCCATGACGACAATTGTCATTTCTTTTTTCAGTTGGACACTGGTTTGTAATTTGTTTTAAGTGTGATGAAATTCAACTTGTTCATGTACACTGTTTATGTACATGTGTACAGCATGTGTGTGTTTGTTACCAATATGTGTTATGCTTTGTACAGAGTTAGAGGTTTATTTACAGTTGATATGTTATGTATGTCAATCATCATCGTCCTCTCTATGCGGATATGATTGTCACAATGTTCTGGAAGGGCAGCATATATAGACGTATGTCATTGTTAGTGTTTGTTGTAGATTGGAACCTTTCCCTCTGTGTGTTCTCATGTTAGAAAGGAACCTGAAGCATTTGGGTCTAATGTACATGGACATCGGACACAACACAGTTTAGTTAGTGTTTAAAATAAAGCGTGTCCTTGAGGTTTATTGTTTTGATTAAAGTTCCCCAGTATCCTCCTGTGCAATCAGAAAACAAGGACCATTTACGTTTTTATATTTTAAAACAAGCATAAAAAATCTTATAAGAGGTGTCATCAAGATGACATGAGAACCAAGTGAGTTTTCCTGATGTATGGGAGTAGTATCAGTTCTTAAATATACTATTCACACTTTGCTAAGGATCAAATCATGGATTCAACACAAAACTATGATGTGGGGTCAAATTTGGTTCAAATTTCTAAGCTTATTGTAATCATGGATGCTAGGTTTCAGTATGTCATAGCATCTTGTGGAACCCATACCTGCTATTGACAGGTGTTGTGTACTTGTCACTGACTCGTTCCATGATATGCAAAATGGTTGATTAGTGCCATGAAAACCATTTTAATGATTATTCATGTATCAAGTGCATAAGGTTAGATTAAAGTGACTGTTTGCCTAACGAGGGGTTACAATATTATTATTTATCCAGTTTTAAATGGATACAATTTCAAAGTATGAATCTACGTTCAAGCTAAGTTGTGATCCTTAGCAAAGCGTGAGTAGTATAGCTTAGTTCATTTTAAGTTTCCAAGACACTACAGGTTCTTACTCTTCAGAGTCATAGTAGTCCAGAATCATTAATGGCTCTGTTTTATATGATCTTAATAGGAGATGGCTTTGAGGAACAGGCACTGATATGAATTAATTTATACTTCAAAGTTTTTCATTTTTTTATTTTTTCATATAGATATCAATGTTGATTTTTTTTTATCATTATAAAGATTATGACTGGCTTGTGTGAAGTGTTTTATGGAACCATGTTTTCTAGGCAGATCATGTTTTTGATGTTTGGTCTTACTTTTGTAAAAATTCTCAGCTGAAGTCATTTAAGGCCAACACTTCCAATTTCACAGTACATTTGATCACTTCCTGTGGCACAGATAGGTGATGCTGTGGAGAATCCACCCAGACACACAGAGGCGCATCTACCCAATCATGTTTTTGCAAGTATGGTTTTGTGAGCCTTGCTGACAAGATGTGACCACTGCTTTGACAAGCAGTATCAGAGTGGATCTGATCGGTTTTATCAGCTGAAATTCTTGAAGCACTAATACCCTCTATGTGAAGTTGACACAAGTGGGTAAGACCTACAAAAGGTTACACCGCAACAACAAGACTGGTAGTTCTTCAGAATGTCATCTTTTGTCAGAAAATATTTTTGTTTATGGTATCAGTGATAGCCATTAAAACAGAGTTATTTGTTTAGTACAGGTCTGCTGTTCCAGTTTACCCAAAACTGAAATCTACTCATTTAGAAAAGTTGAAGTATACCAAATTCTTTCATATTGCAAGAGTTCCTCTGTCTGGGCGTTTCATGGTTAGCTGTGACAGTTTGAAAGAAAGGGTGTTCATTAACCTTTTTTAGTAATATATGTGTCGCAACAAAAAACTGCTGCTGAGGTTGGTTAGAAGGGAAGAATGTAAGTCTGGCCTCCATTTTCCTTCAGTTTATTAACCATTATATTGCTGATAGATATATAACGTCTTGAAAACTATATTGTCAACTAAAACTACTGTTTGTTAACTTCATGTTAATATCCATTCTCTTCCGACAGAGGTTACTCCTGTCATATCTTCCTACGTAACCTCTGTTCTAATACGGCCCTTTCATGGTGTGAGCGATTAAGACTGGTGATTGGAGGCAATCAGATTTAGTTGTGCAATCAGCGACGTTTCAAAAGTGATAATTCGCAAGTCCTCGGTAATTTCCGTATGCTTCGAGAAAACTAAACCTCTTCCACTGCGCGATGCCCAAACGTTTCTTCTAGACAGAACTCAGTCATGTTATGGCGGATCAGTGGCGTCTCCATCGCCCTCGTTAACAACGGACAAGCTAGCCATTAAACGTCTTGTGTGTAACATCAACACAAGTCCCCGGTAGATGGGGGATATTTGTGGCCCCACATTTGCTTATGTTAGTCAAGTTGAATCTAAGTCGATGTGACACGTGTTCTGATTGGATAGAAAGAAGGGAGATAATTCGTTTTGCGATCTTTTGCCGCTAGGGGATTTTATGAGAACCGGGAAATATGGCCGTATTAGAACAGAGGTTCGTAGGAAGATATGACAAGTAACCTCTGTGGGAAGAGAATGGTTAATATCATGGCTTTGTATTTTCAGCTTTGGAAAAGATATTCTGAAGAACTAATAGTTTTGTTGACTCTTTATGAACCAAATTTTCGATTTGCATCAGTGTATATAGTGGTATTGTTTACTGAGTAGAATGTTTAGTACTTGGTGATAACAAATTTTCCCAGATGTTTGTATTTTATCAGCAAAGGTTGGTTGGCAAGAACATACTAGATATCACAAGGTATGTTTTTTCTTGGAAATATATAAAAGTATTGTTGAAATCAAGTTTGGTTGGGGTTTGTTTGCTATTGTAATGGTAGCAACTGGTGT